GGTTTGACAGCTATCTTAGTGACCGTTACCAATCAGTTAAAATTAGAACGCAGAATGGTTTATATTTGGTTTCAGATCCTGCACCAGTTAATCGTGGGGTGCCACAGGGGTCCATACTTGGACCCTTACTTTTTATTATTTACAGTGCTGACCTGCCCTATGTGATAAAGCATTGTAAATATCATTGTTATGCCGATGATGTACAATTGTATATATCTACGAATTCTTCTAGTACATCTCAGGCTCTGCAGCTTCTGCAAGAGGATCTGAATTCCGTGTCTGCATGGTCCACTAGTAATACCCTTGTATTAAATGCGGCCAAATCAAAGTTAATGCTGTTCGGAACAGACAGGCAGACTGCTGGTATCTTAAGTAGAGGTTTAACTGTAAATCTCTCAGGAGATAATATTGAGTGTGTCAGTGAGGCAAAAAATTTGGGTGTTGTTATGGACAGCCGATTACGCTTTGAGACTCACGTCTTGAATCTGGTCCGCAACTGTTTCTATCGCTTAAAAATCTTATACAAAGTTCGTGATTATCTGTCAGTAAAAACGCGTATCACCCTCTGCGAATCTCTAGTTTTGTCTAGACTCAATTACGGCGACCTAGTCTACGGACCCCGACTGTTGCATAGAACTAAGAAATTGATCCAGCGTATACAGAATTCATGTTGTCGGTTCTGTTTCAACATACCTCCTCGTTCCCATATTTCACCTTATTTAAACAGCGCTCTTATGCTTAATATGGAGTCTCGAAGAAAGCTGCACCTTGCTGTCCTCATGTTTGGTATCATTAAATATGAAATTCCCGAATACCTGTATAACAAATTACGCTTCTCAAGGTTCCACAATAGATACGGATCCGGTGTACCACGATCAGCTAGGCCTCCTTTAACGTTTCATTCCCATAGGACAGTTGCTTTTACCGGATCCTTCCGTTACCAGGCGACTAAGTGTTGGAACAACATACCTCCGCCAATAAGACTTCTCTCAACTAAAACAAACTTTAAAACACATTTTAAAAAAGTCTTATTGGAACATCAACAAAAAAGGAATTGACTGATGTCGCCTAGGTGGCGGATATTGTCCTCTTTGTTTGATGGTGATGTTAAGTGTTTGTGTTCGATTTTCCGACATTTATATTATTATTTCATTTCAAATTGGTACAATTTCATATTAAAATGTATTTTTAATTTATATTTATTAACTTATTTTATACGTTTTTCTTTATTATTATTTTTTTTTTTATTCAATAATGAATTTGATGATATGCTTTTATGATTTTTCACTTTGGTCTTTGGTTCCCCGCTAATCCAAACTTAGGTTAAAGCTGAAAATCGGCAGTTTGCTTTTCAAGCAAACATATTGCCGAGCTTTTGCCCTTTTTGCATCGTCCCGGCATACATGTGATCCTGTGTGTGTTTTAATCGCTTGTTTAATTTAATTTCTTTATATTTATTTTGTTTTTATATTTTATGTCAGTGTGTATTTAGCATGTTGTGCTGTGATTATTGCAAATAAAATTATCATTCATTCTAAGGGAAAATATTTCTGCTCAAAGAAACTACACCACCCGTATAAAATTATGCCTATATATACAGTCAACTGATCTCGTAAAGTTCATTTAGCATATTAATTCTCCGCTTACACGGCACTAATTTCGATTTGTTTACGAAATACCGATTGGTCTATCTCTGTAATCGTTTAAAGTTGTTTTTACAAAACTTCGAAAAAAATAGCACGTTTATAAATTTAAACATTAAGTACTAGACTATTATTAGTAATTTTATTCTAATGTCACAGATATTTTTGGTATGTGAATAATTCTGTTCCTGAATTAGTAAAGGTATAAGTTTTTACATCTGATAGTAGTCATCCGATAGTAGTAAAAAAAATTTTTTCGTCTTGCCATAATTTATTATGGTTTATTTAAAATGATAAGGTAATTATTTAGGTATCTTTCTACGTCTTCGAACGCAATTACCGACGTTCCAATAATCTCATCGTACCTAGCGTAAGTGACGTGTAGCTTCAAAGAGAGCTGCACTACACTGCGCCACTCCGATCAGGAAAAAAACGGACGAGTGCACAAGCTACTCATCCGGGTTTTTCATGTCATTCCGGACCGGAAAAAATCGGACCGCCGGATCTGAAAATTCAGTGTAGTGCACAAGCGCCCTAACTCTACCAAATTTAAAACGCTGCCTAACCCCTTCAAACGTTTCGGCAGAACAATTTTTTAATTTTGTCAGATTATGATTTATTCATAATAGTCAAAATACGTAATATCTGAATAAATGTTATTATAACAGTAATAAAAAAAAATCATTTTGTTTACCTTTATTTTCTCGGCATAGATATAACTAAATTATATTCTAATAACAGTAATAATAAAAAATTCATTTTGTTTGCCTTTATTTTCTCGGCATAGATATAACTAAATTATATTCTAATTATATACACTTACAATTAGAATCAATCAAAACAACACATAGATAGTTTTATTTTCATATTGGCTCTGAGTAAAAGATGAATATGCTAGTCTCATCTCAACCCCGAGAAATGTAAAATTGCCCAACTCTTTCAGACTACCTAAAGTTCAAAATTTCAACAAAACTATTATAAATATTTTTTAAATTTATCTTGTCAATAAAATGTTCTGCACTGCTGCTTCTGAGATCCTCTTTTTTCTAATGTAATAATGAATGGAGTATAAGTTATTACCAGACATACATTAAAATATATATATTTATATGTCATTCACACATTTCGAACGACCTGCGTACTTTAATCATTTTCAGTTTTGAAGTAGGTTAAAAGATCAACGTTTAGTGAAATCAAAAGATTAAGTAATGATCCGAAAGACAAAAAAAAAGAAGATGCTCTATTTAAATTACACGCTTAGTAGAACCAATATTCTTAGAGTCAATAATACCTATTAGCAATTTTGGAAGTACTCTCGATTATAAACTAGACTTGGACATTTCTTATAGAACATAATCAGCAAAGCTTTCAAAATGTTATGGGATCATCTTAATGAATTTTAAAATCCAAGTACATATATGACACTTTATTCATATTTATTCAGGTCTCAGTTAGAATATGGAGTCTTAATATGAAGCCCTAAAATACAGTCACAGCATTGAAATGGTACAAAAATAGTTTCTGCGACGTGTTAATTTCGGATGCCACTGTAAACGTCTTTCATATTATACACCTTTTAAGAGAATATAAGCTACCAGACCTAAAATCAAGACGCTCTCAGCTTAATGCTATGTTGTTGTATAACTTTTGTAATAACAAGTATGATTGTGTGGACATCATCAACCGTATTAGTTATTAATCCCATCACATGCACATTTGCGATCTCCGATTCCTAAGACGTTGTTTGCTGTCATAATGCTAGCACTCGACCTCCTTGGCATCGTACGGTCGTCACATCAACAAACAATTTCATTCAGCGGATATTTTTTACAATTACTCAAGTAGGTACAAGAAACAGATAATAGAATTGCTTTCAAATAAGTTATAATTAAAAAAAATGTGTGCGTTTCAGTACATCGGGTTAGATAAAAAGAAAATTCATTTACTATAAAAACAAAGACAACATTATAATTAAAAATCTTATTATATAATATTATTAAAATTTCATTTACAATATTACTACACACTATATTGTTATTTAATATAATATCTTCACAACAGTTACAATGTTTCATATTGTTTCAATGATTTTATGTTCATTATAATCTTCAACTTACCTAAATAAAATTATCAATGTTTAACTTTATAGATTTCGGATTTCCAATTAAGTTTAATATGTAAGTTTTCAATATAAATATGTTTTTGTCTCTTTTAAGTTTTATTGTTACCTACCTTATAGTCGTGGATTATTACTCTTTCAACAAAACATACACGTGTAAAGGAACGCAACATTGTCAAAAAAGTTTAAATAAATAATCCAACATATAACATTACACTTGAAAAACAACCCTCTTTTTGTTGCAATCGTTTTGTTGCAAAATTCATTTCTCAAATACCTAATTAAGTAGCTAAAGCACTTATGTCATGGAAATCTAAAACAACGAAGACAGCACAATAGTCAGTCTTAAGACATTATAGGAAATGTTGTCGGGCATCGACACCTAGCGATGTGTGAGCCACTCGACCATGGCGGTCATCTAAAACATATGGATAAAACGCAAATAATGTTTTTCTTGGGTAGTTAACTTCTAATGTTTAAGTACAGGCTAGTTTTATAGGATTAAACACGATGTTTCTCATTGCCGCCATTCTCATCGATCTCCAAATTTAATTCATGAGCAATACGATAGATTAGGGCGTAACGTGAGGAGGCGGCAAGGCGTAAAACGGGTCGCAGTTGTGTCGCGGTCCGATAATGAATTTCAATTTCATACCGACTGCACACTTTACGCTGTTCACATGTTACTTTATATGACATAGAGCTGTTACAACCGATTGTAAAAAATATTAATAATATTATTATGCAAGCATATCATGTATAACGATGATAATTAAATTATAAAGTTGCATAGTATACATATCGTCAAAGAGATTAAGTAAAAAATATTATTCAAATATAATAAATTCAATCATTCACACATTTCGGACGATCTGCGTAGTTTAAGGCTTACTGATTGTGCCGCCATCTCTGCTGTAACGAATTAAGTAATATAAAAGATTTCTATAAAGTCCTCTGCTCAAAGTGGCTTACATATTGATACATGAATTGTAGAAGTAATTTTGTGTTTCCTTTTTTTCTATCGAGGAAAAATTTGATGTTCACTTTTTAACTGTAACGAAACCCTTAGAATTTTTTTTTCTCATATTAAACTAATAACTAATTGCAAGTTTTGGTTTTCGCGCCCTCTTAACTCTTGAATGGTAATATTTTCTCTATACCGATATCGCATTATAAAAACCCTAGAGAAGCTAAAACACTTTCCATTCCACGAAAGGATATCGTAGTGGATCCACAAAATGAGCCTTAACAAAACTTGCGATAAGAAATCTAAAACTGCCGAATACAAAATTCAGAAGATTTTAAATAAAATTGAATCATTGAAAATAAGCGACTCTTACCTATCACAACTAAAGCTTCCTGAGAAGGAAAAGAAACCAAATAAGAAAATCGGAATTCATCTTAAAGTTTATTCTAGTATTGGTGTTGTGCTTATCGGAATTATAGTGAAGTGGTTTTACAACGAAATAACATCAAAGGTAAAAACTTTCATATTATGGCCATTAAAAAACTTAACTTATAAAACAAATGAGCTTCTAAATTGCATAAACGCCATTCATATCTGTGGTTTCACCGCGTAACTTTGACATACATATTTTTATTAGGATTTCAATGATATCAGACTAAGTTCATTATTATTTAGTTTTTGATCTGCTTGAAGAAAGTGATAAATATTTAAAAAAAATGATGTAACTAAAATAATAGATAATCTAGATAGGCGATAAATATAATAAACATTTTATAATCGCAAATAACTTCAATTGTTAAAATAAATTCTGTTTAAAGCCAGTAATCAAACGCTTTATTCTACGCGATAGGTACGCCGCCGTCGTCGTCTGCCTCTATATTGTATAATAGTAACTGCCTATTTTACATGCATAAAAACATCCTAGACCTTTCACATTCTAGACCTGTCTGCTAGAAGTGCCATCCTCATCGAAGACTCTCTTCCGCCCGCCTGAGGACTGTTCTATGTGCATTGATGTTGACCATGTAGTCAGACTCGCCAATATTTCTGCGCAAGAGTTTGAGGAACATTACGCGTACAGCGCCACGCCCGTAATTGTCACTGATGCCACCCACGATTGGGCAGCCATCAAGGTCAGGATTTGTTTTTTTTTATCTGATTGTTAACCAAAATTAATTGAACAGAGTACCTGCGCCGGGAAAGAAATAAAAATCTCTTTGATTAACGTTATTTTCCCCTTAACCAAGAATCGTGACTAAAAATATGTCGCGGTAAAACATTTATGTACAGTAAATTATAAATCGGAATAATATTCAGATCTGTTCACCTAATTACACAGGAGTTCAACTTTAAGTTCTTCGCGGAGTTCTACCGTAATATGAAAATGGGCAACCAGATCAATGACTGTTTCTTCTTCGCATACAAGTCTGGCCTACACTCGTTACAAGAGGTGTGTTCTGTTATAATTTAATTACCAACACATTTAAAAGGTAGACACAAACTGTGTTTCACAGCATTAACATTGGTATCATGTCTAGAGACAGGAGGTCGTATCCCAGATTTACGCACGTATTAGACGGTTTCGTAAAATAAATCATTTACGAATTTGGACAAAGTCATAGGTTTTACTGCTGTAAACCTTATCCTTACCTAAAATTTATTGCTGTAAACCTTATGCTTGTATTATTTTATAAAAAATACCTATTATTTATGTATTATTTCCCTCTCTCTCTCTTCGTTAGATTAGACAACCTTATGTTATGCCGTGGGGTGCCGGCCTAAGAGTAGCACCCCCCCCATATCCTCCCGTGGGTGTCGTAGGAGCCGACTGAGGGATTATACGGAAGGCGGGCAGCAGCGCCTCCCGGTATCACCTACCACCACCTACTGCGATCCCCAAGTCGCCTGCCAAGCGTGGGCATTATGGCAACCCCCCCCCCCTTTTAAGGGGGAGGCCTATGTTCAGCAGTGGACGTCTTCCGGCTGATGATGATATTATGTTTCACGGTGCGTGTCACGGGGTTGCAATAGTCCTGCCAACCCAGCTGCTCCAGGAAGCCCATAAGTTCTCGAACTCTGCCGCATGCCTCCACTAGTGTCCTTGGGCTACCTGGATGTGTAGTCCATCAGGTCATAAAGTGGCCAAATGCCAACCCAGTCTTAAAATGATAAAAAAACTACCGTGAAAACAAAATGCGGGCATAAGTAGTAAGTTCAATTCAAATGTAGGTACTTTTACATTATTTTCATAAATAGGTATTCGACATGGATGAAACCCGAGCTAACCTGTCTGGAGAGCCGTGGTATGTTGGCTGGAGCACGTGTTACAGTGAGGAGAGCCGGATGCTGCGCTCCTACTACAGGCGGCCATATTTCCTGCCCCCAACTGCGGAGAGCGACATGCTCGACTGGGTGTTTATGGGCGGCCCGGGACAGGGTGCGCACATGCACGTCAGTTTTATTATACAAACTATTTTATTAGCCGCCGCTGCTGCAGAAAGCCTCAAACGGCGAAAATATTCAGGTATAAGTAATACCTACATATTTGAGCCGTTTGGGGTCGAAACGATGGGTCCGTGGGGCCCTGGAGCCCATCGTCTTTATCAAGAGTTAAAAAAGAAACTTTTTGACAGGTCAGGTGATCAGAAGGCTGGTTTGTACCTCGCCCAAAGAATTAGTTTAGCTATTCAAAGAGGTAACGCTCACAGCCTTCTGGGTACCTTACCTGTAGGCAATGATCTGGGAGACATTTTTAATTTAGTTTAGTTATTATTTTAAGTTTAGATAAGTAGTTTTAATTTAATATGTATTTTAGAAGATACATTAAAAAAGTTATATATTTTTATTAATAAAACATCTTAATTTATAAATTATAAAAACAACTATTTATATAACCAGATAATAAATAACAATTTCATCTTCAATTCATATAATTAAGTAGGGGGAGTCCGGGAGATTTGCCCAGATGGGAGAGTTGAACCACTTCTCAAAATTCAACGTAAATTGCACGCCAATAAAACATTAATACAGTCGTAGATCAGGTACGGAAGACCAATAAAATATATGCGTCACTATTGTATAAAATGCCTGGTTTATTCAGCTTTTAAGTTGCGAAAAGTATTTTGGTCACTACAAAATAAATTTTAAATAATTAGTAGTTTTGAGATTACGGCCGTGTTTATGGACGTAAATATTGTGGATTATTTTTATCGTGTTTGCTGATTATTCAAGTTTGAAGTATGTTAATTTTTTTTTAACAGTAATTGAATACCTTTTCTGCAATGAAAATTTTATGTCGATGTGATGTATGCGGGAGAGTTGAACCACTGTTCTTGTTGAAGACATCAGTGGTTAATTATAACGTCTGTGGTGATGATTCTTCTGTCATAACACTAGCTTGCACTCAATTCAATATTGTAAATAATAATAAAATAAGTGAACAGAAGGCAAATAACATTTAGAATAGTTTTTATAATTTTTGAGAATAACGATAAGTATCAATTCCATATAATAAATAAATGAAAGCAAAACTACGCAGAATACTCTAATAGAAAGACGATACAGAAAAATAAACAGAAACTACTAAAACCCCTGATAATGAGTTTCCTCAGACTTTTGATCATATGTCCCTCATAGTGGGGAGAGTTGATCCATTTCCCATTTTTACTTCAAATCGGCTTAGCAATTTACAGTGCTTAAATATTGAAAAAATAATGATGCAAAAACAAGCCTATATAAATTACATATGAATTAAATTTATAATCTAGTCTCTACAACAAATCTATAAGAAGATATGATAATTCAAGTAAAAAGAGGTTCAACTCTCCCGGCCTTCCCCTATATAAAACAATAAGATACCTACATACATAAATATTCCAATTATAGATTTATCGATTCCATTCCAACCAACCTATGATTCCAATAGTTTTAAAAACAATGACAAACGACAAACCAGAATTTCTTTGGCGCCAATGAAAACTTGAACTTACGGTTTGATACATGAGTGACTGATATTTTTAAAATTTAAAATCTTTTACTTCTTTTATATTTGTTTTCCTCGCAAAAAGCATTGACAAATGTTGTAAGAAACTTGAGCGTAAAAGGTTTTTTGAATTCGTGCCAATGAAAACCTTACTTTAAAACCTAACTTTCCGCACTCATATCTTAAATAATTATTAGAAGTCTATTTGAAAAAATATTATTTCGACTTTGACTACGAGAATCACGCACGACGCGAATCCTAATGCGCAAAGTGCGAGAATCTGATGCACAGAACACAATTACTAGGGGATCTGATGCAAAATAGTACTCGTAGTTCAATCGAAATATTAAAAATAAATAAAAACACAAAAATTAATACTAACAGTATAATATATAATTACATCTATATGTTTGTTAGATAGAACCTCGTTAGCTTGTGTCATTTTCCAGGTGTTGGTTGCAGGTGGATTCTGTGAGGCATAAGTCGTGGCAGGCACAGGTGCGAGGACGCAAGCAGTGGCAGCTGGCGCCGCCGCCCGAGTGTCTGTACGAGTGTATAAGCATCGCCTTCACTGTTGAACCCGGCGAGATACGTCAGTACCACACAGATAGCATGTTACAACAGTGGTTCAATAGGGGTAACCTACCCATGGGGGCAATTCAGCTGCTGCGGGTCAAATGTAATAGCTAAGACCAAAAAAAAAATAGCAATGATACCGTCACGACGTGAAACATGATTTAAACTGTGATTTAAGCAAATCTCATATCAAAAACTTGTGATTATTTCTATCACTTCTTAATTAATAAAGATATCTATCTCTATTTCTTGTAATGTTTGTCTTGTATACAAGATTAGGGTAAAAAAAAGTTATCATAGGGATAACAGTTATGAAAAGCTTAAGAACAAACTTACAAGCTGAGTAGGTGATTTGCTCCCATACTGAGCGCTTAGTGTATGTTTTTTTGACGTTTACGTTCACGTCGATCGTGAGCGCGTTAAGATTTTAGTATGGAATCTGGTACAACGCCCCTAGCGGTAACTACCAAGAACTACAAATGTCCATACAAATTCTTAACGCGCTCACTAGTGAACGCGTTAGCGTAAAACTTACACTTACCACTCTGATTTATACTATTAGATCATATCATATTACCAGCATCTTTTGACAAATCGGTAAATTTTAATTTGTAGATGGCATCATTGGGATAAAAGGATAAAAATGTCTTGATACTTGTAATATTTTTAATATAATAAACAGTTTTCAATAGTTTTAGTAGCTTTGAATGTACTCGTGACCATATTCTTATATGCGCAGATTTTGACATAGATTAGCCATCTGCGTGGGACATAATATAGTGCACAAGCATACACCCGTACTCTCTATATTACTGATATCTATTATTTTGACGGGACAGCACCCGGCTCAGAAAAAAACCAATATTTTACGTGACTCGGAACCTAACACGAATAAATAAAAGAAGCTTTACTTTATGTATTTCTTTATTTCTAATCTTTACTTTAGTTTATTTTATTCTTTTTTTACTCAATGTAGAAAAATGTCTTCATATCTTTTCCTTGACTAATAATTCGTTTTATAGTAGTAGTCGACACGCCAACGAATATTTATGAATTAATTTGTTTTTATTAAGTAAAAAATTAAAATTAAAATAAGTACTCGTCATTGCTATAGATGTACCAGAATCTGATGTTACAAAATAAACGTTAGATTAACTTTAAGACGAAAAAATTAAATACTAATCCTTAAATTCTGTTTATTGGTTTCAGTGGTGGTCGACACGAACCGCTGGTACCATAAAACGAATGTGCTTCCTGGGGACATCAGTATAACCATCGGCGCTGAATACGACTAAGTCGCCTCCATGATAGATTTAGAATTATACTGTATCTGCATTAAGATTAAAATGATTTGATAGTTTGGATAAAATCATGTGCTGTCGATGTCTGTGCGATTTTAGACGAATTAATACGCACGATACGCTGGAAATGTACAGACCACAGGTCCAGATACTTCTCACAATGTAAGATAATGTCAAAAGTTATAATGTTGAATCAATTTCTGCGCGTATTTGTTAAACCCGAATTAAGAAGAAAACGGGGTGTCTTACTATACCTAATTTCCGATATAGGGCCCTCGCCATTTCTATATATATATACCATCCTACTTAGTAGATCAACCGACCTATTATTGATTATATTAATTAATAGTATCTCAAATGTCCATTTTTCAAATAGGGGTGTAGACGACTTTTTATATTTTTACGTTACATGAAGTAACTTAAAAAATATATTAAATTAAAACAACATGCATATAGTACGTTAAAATCTAAAAATAAATATAATTTTCAAATTTTTCCGCCCAAACGCCACTTCTGTTATGGCGTCACTATGACGTCTCGGCACTATCGTTCTATGTATGTATAAGGTTGAATTTTCTAAGTTCCGATATGAGTAAGAGGATCGTGACGTCACGCGCTGCTTGCGGTCACGTGACAACGATCATTAAATATTTGTTTTTTTTTATAATTAGTTTAAGCAATATTATAAATAATATAATAAGTATGAAAGTGTGTGATTATCGGTAATAGTATATTAAACACTACCAGAAAAAAAAATGTATTTATTTTCGTTTACTATGTACACCCATAATGTATGTTGGTCACAAATACAGTCAACAGCACGTCGGGTCATACAAAATTGATAATTTTCAACACTTGAAACTTAAATATTGGGGTTAGTCCAAATTCAACTATATAAACTTTAAAAGCAGCCGTCTATGATTAAGTTAAATTAGTTTAATTTCACTTTAAACAAGTTTAATATGTTAACGCTTTGATTGTAATGGAATCAAAGTATCAATTTAAACCTTATGTAATTATACGAAAACAAAAAAGAATTGCTAGTGTGATTTAAATGGTCTCTTATAACGTGATTTTCATAAACATAAGATTCACTACCTTCGTAACTCATGCGCGGCAGATGCAATTTTCCCACTTCCTATTTCCAGTAAGACGCCATTCTACTTCCAGTCTCTGAATCTAATGTTATCAAGTATTTATAAATCAGAGTGAGTTATTACTTTTATGTGCAAGTCTGCAAGACAATGAAAAAAAAATTAATCTTAATATGGATATGTCTTCGAATACAACATTTAAGAGTTGTCTAAAACTTCAATAAAGAAAATCTTAACAAATCAAAGTTTATTTAATACTAAAAACGACGGATATTTATATATTTTCATTATTATATACTAAAAATTTATATTGAAACTATTCAATATAAATGTTATTTATATATTTTAAAAATATATACTAAATAATAAAAATAATCATGTCCTGAGCAACAAAAGTATCTCGTCGTATTCCGATATACGGTCTTTATTAAAAATAAATAAAACCATTAGATAATGCTACATAAAACCTTTATTACAGTAAATATTACATTCTACTACATGCGGAACGTTACATTGGTTACAGAACAATCATATTCATTGATTAATTAGTTACATCGAACATCTACTGGAATGGCGTTGATCCTAGGGTATAATTATAACGATTATTTCAATAAGAGAGAGCTTTAGATTTCATTGAATTCTTCTACATCGAATTTAAGTACATCATTTGGAACCATAATAGGTTTACGATAAAAAATAGAAAAATACTAAATCGCTCACACACATTTATTTTAATCATACAAAATGTATTTGGATTATGTAAAAAAAGCACTAAATTCAGCTACCAAATAATAAATAAAAAAAGGAATACATCGATTGCAACAGCATTTTATTCGACTACTTTATTATCCATATAACTTTATTTTGAATACAGAACTTTTCACTTACGATATAAGTTAGATAATAGTAGATAGAATTGAAATATAACCATCTACTTCGACGCTAGTGATATTAAATCGAATCTAGATGCTAATAAGGTGGATTATTGTTTATCCCAAGATCCAGTCCTTATGACTTACTGGATACATAGTATTGAATAAAGTAGAATTGCCATTGTAGGTAGACGCTATATGCTCTGTCCCTTTTACTCATCCCCTTGGCCGGCTGAATCCAGAATGATTTCGAAGGAAAACGGTTGGAATAGATAACCTTCGCCCGCGTAAAACTTGCTCTGGAACTCGACCCTGAGGAAAGACGTGTTTAAAATTAGGCTACACTCATAGGCATTAATTTATTATATCGTTAATTTTTAGACTTGCGAGTTATTCAAATGACAAATTCACTTTATTATATCAATTAAGATTTTTTGTTTCTTACTTAACATAAAAGTTGCATGTAAAATACCCATTTAAGAAGATATCATTATAAAATTATTTTAAACGAATGGTTTTGCACATCAGCACGCGTAGCATGACGAACTCGAGAACGTTTTGTCTATACTCAAATGTCACTTTTCTCGGGTGCGCCCATACGATATCTCACTCTCGACCCGAGAAACTGACAAATGAGTGTAGACAAAGCGTTTCTCGAGTTTGTCATGCTACGCGTGCTAGTTATATAAAACTGTCGAAGTTCTCCACTTGACTTTAAATCTAACCGAGTGTAGAGTTGACATACTGTGTCAACTAGTAGGCTTTTCTCCGAAAACGATATTCCATCTATTTTAGAACGGCTTATAATATTCCAAAGAAATGCATTTTTCTATAATTTACGACACACTGGAGATAGGACCTGACATTGTCTATGATGCACAGATAATCTTCATGAATTTAATTTTAACAACATTATAAGAACATTTCGAATATTTTCCAAAACTTCGTGGACAAACAGTATTAAAGTGTTGACGTCATAATTTTGAAAATGTTACTGAATGCTGTACAGCAGACTAGCTATTTATGTATATATTTAGTTTTTAATTAGTACTTTAAACTCTTATACAAATGTAGTTTACATAAAAACTGATGGCAAGAAGGTGTTGCCAAGTATGTCGCTTACGATAATTTTTAAGCATTAATCTAAAAGTAGAAATAAAGATATGTTGGTGTTTTATTGTTTTTAAGATAAAGAATCAGAAACTCCAAAAATATACCTATTCATTTTTAATTAAGAGACCCTTAAGATAAAAAAAAATCTATAGGCACTTGTTTAGAAGTTAAATTACGCAATTTACGCTATAAGAAATAATGCAACAAGAAATAGAACAGATGGTGAATTTTAGGCGTATCTTTGTGATTTTTTTCCATTTGGCTAGTAAAGTTACCTTATAGCTAATTTGGACGCTATTTCTAAAAAAAAATCGAAAGGTTAATAATTTTCTTGTAGGTTATAAATTTGGATAGACTTAAACTTCACTTCACTTCACTACTAATGGTGGGTAATACGCGATCTTTAAGAAATACGTGACAGGTCAATCAATGTATATAAAGTAGACATAAGTATTCGATAAAAATGAATTTTATACAATTTATAACTTCAAAGTAAATTAATTTTGGCGCTTACGGTGTTTTTCCTCAAAAGGCTCGAATACGTGTTAACAAATATCTTCTAAAAATGGAATGGACGATAATCGGCCTAAGGTTTTCATGTAACGTAGATAGTTACCAGTGCAGCCTGAGCGTGTGCAGGAAGGCGGAGAGTCCCTCCATGAGCACGAGGATGGAGACGGAGATGGCGGCCCAGCCCGCGAACACAACGTACAGCAGGATGCCGCCCTCGTAACCCTTACTCATCAGACCTGCATCAACCCATCATACGATCACTCAACACTTGACGATGCAGTTTAAATCTACTATTAAAATAATACTTATTAAAAATGCTTATTATACGGTATCCGATTATATAACAGATGTTGAATGCTTGGACTTAAGATGGTCCAGCAGCTGAATAGATGATTAATCTAATCTAAAATCTAAACTCATTTAAAAAAAAATTATCTTGTTTCCATTATTATTAAATTATTATGTTATCATTATAAGACCATAGCTTTTTTCTCTCTATTTATAATGTATTGATCTGGTAATGATATGGCTTTTGTGAATGTTTAATACTCCTATTAGAGCTGGTGAGTTTCTTGCTTGTTCTTCTTATCAGCCAAAAGACGTCCTGAACGAGTGGTTGGGAAAAAAATGTTGGACGATTCAAAAGTAATTTTAAGAAGTCTATTTGAATAAAAATTATTTTGGCTTTGATTCAAAATTCACTTGGAGCCGAAGGTCTCTTTGCCTAATTACGGGTAGCAATATTGTAGCTAGAGTACACGTGACATACCTTTCCTAAGTAACATGTTCCAGGCGACCTCCGCCAGTTGCGCGTGCGCAAGTGACAGCGCCCACAGCCGCAGGTACGAGGCGGTGTGCGAGATGCTGCCCAACACGTACTCGATCGTGTGGATAGCCTACAATATAACATAACAAAACAACACATCATTATATCATCTCACACGGGGAACTTTGCTCCGCCTAATGGTAGCCATAACATAACAAAACAACACATCATTATAAATCATCTCAACCGGCGAACTTGCCTAATGGTGGCCATACACGATAGTATTAGCTTGATGGTTTTAGCCGTGCATGCATAACCGACATAACCGAGTTTCATATGACACATACACGTTAGGGTTTGTATGCACAGTTTTGTCATAAACTTTCAGTTGAGTTACTTGACTTTGTGTGTAGAACGTGTACGGTTTACCATACTAAAATGAACGACGACGATGTGATAGCCGTTCTTGACTATAGCACTTGTTCTGCAGAACAGAAAAAGAAAAAGAGATCGTACTAAACAGTATAAACGTTGATTATTAATAAGAAATCAGCAATGGATTGAGATTTAAACCAAAAGATAACATAATATATTTACGAATGGGTAAAAGCTTTATTTGAAACTGTTATTATTGAATATTTAACAATTGAGTACTAAGAACGCCACACACGCTCGGTTATGCTCGCGCGCAAACGTTACCGAGCAGCATAAAATAGCAACTTTGATATTTGCTTGGTTGCATGTAAGTGCGCAGAAAACTGTACAGTTTTATCACATACACGCTATAGTGCCTTTAAGTTATGCATGAAACGCTAAAACCATCATGTCATATTATTCATATTATTATTATAATAATTTATGCACAAAACAAACACATCACCGGTCAACTTAGTGATACTTTAAAATTAACAATAGACATAGACAACATTACGTGAGCTGTCAGAATGAATGTGAGCTGTCAGTTACGTTTTAATATAACACATGACTATTATCATTAATGTTGTGCTTCATATTTTTTCTATTTTTTGATTGATAGAACATCATATTTTAATACTTATTATACTAATCCCGACGATGACAAATCCAAAAACAAATTAAGTTGGTCCAGCCGTTTTATTATCTTCAATTTATACATATAGATAATTTCCATATACATACTTATCACCTGCACAAAAATGCCGCATTTTACACGATACGTAATAAAATATGATAAAGCACGTGATGCTGTCTCATTTACACGACTGAAATGTGAGCGAAACAGTAAGTCCAGCGTATTGAGTTTCGATTAGTACTCTTACCTTGGGCCGGCCATTACAGACAATTGTGGATAGACAACGTTGATAAAAAAAAAAATTATTCTTTTCCACTAGCTTTTCATATACTTTAACTTTGAACACTGCCAATCCCTTCTATTTTACCCCATCTATCTATCAGGCTTATCAGTCTTGCACCAAGTTGCACAAATGTTCATTAAGGTTTAATGACAAATTTAAGTTCAAAGGAATGTTTTACACATGAATGAAACCACTTTGTCCCTGGTACTCTGAGATGGGATTCGAACCCATGACCTTTCGCCTTTCACAATTTGGGCGACTGTCGGGCGGACCCTACCCTTAAACCATTTTTCATTGAGAATATTTTTCAATATAGCATTGTGAATGCAAAATTTATCAAATATAATAATTAAAACTAATTAAATTTCGACGTTCCATGTTCAGTGGCGGAATAACCTCATCAGAGGCCCAGATTGACAGCTTTTCCAACCGAGGCAGAATTTTCATATTCCTTGCTACCCCATGCATGCATTTAAAAATTTATAATGTTATTATGATTTTAGAGGATGACTGCAGCCATCTAGAGGCCCCTTCGGCGTCCCCCCTTAGTCCGCCACTGTCCGTGTAACAATAGTCGTATGTGAATGGAACAAGTTAGACCGACCTGATGTATGAATACTTCAGTGATGTCCTCGTCGTGGTGGGCGGCGGGTATCGGCGCTCCGCCCGCGGCGCCGTTCTCGCCGCCGCTCTCGATGGTCTGGTGGCCCTGGCGCTGCAACGTTACACATGACAGTACACTCACACACATCTATCTATATAACCGGATATTATAACACTGTGATCCAACTAATATGGTGGATCTGCTTTCCTACAAAGAAGACCCACCAATGAAAGAGTATTTAAAAAAAAAAGGACAATAAATATCACAAAAATAAAACAATAATACTAGTAATAGCAACGATAATCACACTTTTATGCTCATTATATTTATAAAAGTGATTAAACTAATTTTGAAAAAAAAAAACAAATATTTTATACCCGTTGTCACGTGCCCGCAAAGAGCGCGTGACGTTACGCCCCTCTTAACCTAACTTATAGAATTAAACCCTGTTCGTTCATAGAACGATATTAGTTTTAGAGGAATGTGACGTCTACCTGAACGATATTAGTGTTAGTCACTAATCTCCTCTAACTTAAATGGTTGGTATATTACTGAATTTTTATCAAAGATATTATCGCGACATAGGCTACAGAATAAGTACTGCGAAACATTACGTTTCTTTTTATCACATATGTTTACAACTCCATACCTTAGTGAGTGAAGATTTTAGCTTAATTAGAATTTAAATATATAGTAATATCTATTTTGTATGTTCTTACCATCATCTATCCAAAAACGAAAGTTTGCATAAAAAACATAAAGAGTCAATGGAAAATATAACTTATAAATGATAATAAATGAATTTCATGATAATATTGTTGATTTACTCCCAGAAAATAAATCATCAAATGTATGTAAATAAATACACCGATTATTAAGCTTTTTAGGGCTATTTTTAAGGGTCATCAACATTATACCCTGGGTTTAAAGATCAAAATTTTACTTTTTACTATAATAAAAATCACCCTAGGAATTACGATTTGAAAGATAAAAAATGTATACAATATCTATTATACTCACGGCACGTTGCTTCTGCTCCTTCATGATGAAGTACGGTTTGCCGAAAAGCATAACTGGAACGCACAGTAGGGCCACGATCACGAAGAACTATATTAGAACAATGGTTAAATTATAATTAGATATAGCATAGATTACGTTTTCATGGTATGGATATACCTGCAATGACAGGATTCAATAAGAATTGTTAATGTAATGTGACAAAAAATCATTACAGTTACATTCATTGAATATTGAACCAACTTCAGTTGCTGAAGTTTTTATTATTAAATTAATAGATAATTTCACAACATTGAATCAAAGGGGCATAACAATACTAACATATACATTTCACAACCCGAATTTATTAGATATAATCAGAAGCTTTGCTTAGATTCGGACCGTTTTTTTTTTGGTATATGTAAGTAAAAATTTCATTCATATAAAATTGTTTACGTTGTGTTTCTGATGACAAATTTTTTCAATCTATTTATGTCACAGAAAATGTCGTAGCTGTTAAAATATGAACCGCATCGCATTCGCATGCGAATAAACGATTTTTTTATGATGATGAATTTAAGATCAATTATTAAGAGGATGCTTGGCGAATATTTAAAGGAATTTAGAAATTGTTTATTAACTGTCATGATAATGGCCATAATGACACGTAAGTATAATTTTTTAACTTAACGTTGTGTTATCGTAATTGTTTCTGACATTCCTAACACAAGAGCTCTATCTACTTAGTTCTTACTGGTTGCACCCAAATTACTTTAATTATAACATACATTTTAAAGTACCATCTAAGAAAATAATGAGTTGCATCAGTTAGCAATGATTAGATGATGTCCTAACTTTGAACTATAACCACACAATCTTCGCTAATTAAAGTTATTGTTATACTATACCAAGAATGAGGATGGTCAACGCATTCCACGGTTAACGTTAAAGTCAGCTTGATAGTTACTGTCAAATTTGACATAAACCTTAACTTTAATTGCTGTTATGGTGCAATCCGGCCTTAATCTGGCATATGAGTAATGTATTTTAATTTTCAAAATAATAGTAATGCATTTTAAAAAATATTCCAGGTACTCTGAGCCCCATTCCACAGTACATGTGGCTGGTGGACATTTTAAGAATTTTTTATTAAGAATATTTTCCAGTACAGCATTATGAATGCAAAACTTTTGTAGTAATTTTTGTTTTAATATTTTATTTTTGTAAATTTACTTGCGATTTATTTATCTGTGGAATACGAGAACCGAAACATCTCAAAGTTTTAAAATACTTTTTCCGTGTTTCGAATTAATCGAAGTACTGTTTGAAGCTCGGTGGCGTATAATATAAGGGCGATCGTTAGTGTGAAGCAACTTTCACAATGGTCGATCACGGGATGGGTGACCAAAAAATTATTATCTCGAGATACTCCGTGCTTCAGAAGGCCCTCTTATCTGTATTTAGCCAGCGTGGATGGTTCTCCTTCACCATCCATATGGAAGACCTGAGCCCCTACAGTGGGAACGTTGAAAGACTGATGTTGAAGTACTGTTCGGTTACCTTCTGTATTCCCATCTGGCCTGGGAACATGGTGTCGTCGCATACTGGCCGCGTATTTTCGTCGGTCTTGAACAGCATCATGTTGATGAACGTGATCAGGATAGATGGCGCGCAGTACGCACTAGACCTCACGATATCTATATGTGAATAATATCATATAATAGTCTCAGTAGGTATTATCGTTTGTCAAGACGATAGCTGAATAACAAGCTGAATGAAGAAGTATTAAAAAAAAATATAGTTTCCGAAATCAAACTAGATGTCGCTACGGTACTTTCTTGGTTTCTCCACGACAACCAACTTGGTTTCTCCATGTCCAAGGCATCCTGCATTCTTAGAAGCATGTGTTTGTCTGTTTTCTTTATATCTTTAGCTGTGTTATTTTTTTTTTCTCTTTTTGTATAATGGTCTGCGCCTACGTTTTGATGTTACATAGTATATTTGGTCTATTACTTAGTTGTGTATAATTATTTCAATTATATATAAAAAAAAAATTTTTTTAATATGTAAGTTAAAAGGAACGGAAATGACTATCTTTGGTCCATTCGTTTCCTGCAACTTTTGTTAGAGTCGCCATCTAGTGGGGGTGCTTTTTTGGTTAACATCTAAGTTGTTCTCTTGACCTGAACTATCTGGTTCTGGTTGCACTACTTCAGTTTCCGTCAAGCTATCCTGTATTTCCACTGTATCTTCGAAAGTTTCTACTTCTTCTAGATCTGCTCTTCTAGTCACTTTAGGCTCACAGAATTCCCATACTACTATGTTTTCTTCTTTCTGTCTTTTAGGCTTTAGAACATTGACTGTAGAATTTTTCAATACTTTACTTTTCTCTGATATTGCCTCGTTCTTCGCTTCGATTTCCTTCGTTTCCTCCAAAAATACTACATCCCTCGATTTGATAACACGACTCGGAATATTTGGATCAGAAAAACGATAGCCTTTTGTTTCGTCACAGTATCCTACGAAAATGTATTCTTTTCCTTTGTAGTCCCATTTCTTTCGAAGTTCTTTTGGAATATGTACAAACGCCCGTGAACCAAACACTTTAAATTTGTTCACATCTACGTCATTACCAGACCAAAGTTTCTCTGGAATAGCTCCACCGTTAGCACTGTGTGGAAGGTGATTTTTCGTATACACAGCAGTATGACAAGCTTCTGCCCAATTCTTTGTATTCAGACCTGAATCCGCTAACATGCTTCTTGCCATTTCCACTACTGTACGATTAGCCCTTTCTGCCACCCCGTTCTGTTGTGGTGTATACGGCACGCTCAACTGGTGTTTTATTCCTTTGCTTTTTAGATAAGCATTAAACTCTGCATTGACAAACTCTTTACCATTGTCTGTTCTAACAATTTTAATTTTCTTACCTGAGTAGGTCTCTGCCTCATTCACAAACATTTTGAACCTGTCAAGAACATCAGTCTTTGACTTCAAAAAATAAATAAACATTTTTCTTGTGCAATCATCAACGACAATCAAAAAATACGTATGACCCCCATATGATTTGTTTTCCATAGGACCGCAGAGATCCATGTGCACAAGTCCCAACTTCTCAGTAGCTCGCACCGCCTCGTGATCCTTGTCGAAAGGAATCCTATGCATTTTTCCTTTAATGCACGACTCACAAGACTCCAACTTATCCATGTCTCCGACGAACTTTAAACCTTATTAAATATTACACCCAGTCGACCCAAACACAACTACATTACCTTTTTCGACTACTTTTGAAACAGATAATAAATTAGCACATAGATCAGGGACTAATTTAACACCAGTGAATGTTACATCATCGCCATTCAACTTTGTTAATATATTCCCCACACCAGATACACTGAGCTTTTGACTGTTAGCGCAAGTAATAGTAGCATTTTCCATATTAGAAGAATTAATGTCTCTAAACCACTCCTTATTAAACGTAAGATGACACGACGCACCACTATCTAAATACCAATCTTGAGGAGTAAAACCTTCTACACCTAGCAGGGTATTGAAGCATTTAGCGTTCATCTGGTTCACGTGACATTTGGTAGACGTGCACTCACTCTTCTTGTGACCTTTGAGTCCACACTTGAAGCACTTAATTTTGGAGTTTGAGCTCGACGCGCTTCTAATCTGCTGATAATTCTTACTTGTTCCTGCTTTTGCTATACCACCTTTTTTCTTCACTGTAAAAGCCGCATCAGGATCTGTTGCTTTTGAAGTTCCGCCATCCTCGTGAAGTAACTCTGCTTTGACAACTTCAGAAGTCAACTTTGTTCCTGAATGCTGCAGCGCCATTCTCATTGAAGTGAACTTCTCTGGTAAGCCCCGTAATAAAATTACTGCAATCAAGTCATCGTCCACTGCCTTACCGATGTCACTTAGCTTATGAGCGTGGTTCATGACTGCAGCGATGTAATCCTGCATACTGTCATGCTTCTCCAAACGTTCGTCTAAAAATGCATCTAAGAGCTTGATACGACGATTGATACTTTTACACTCGAAGGTTTTAATGAGAATATCCCAAGCTTCTTTCGCCGTTGAAGCTTGACGTACAAACGGAAAAACTTGAGGTTCAATGTGAAGACAAATCGTAGCTAAAGCTTCCTCGTCCTTTTCCACATCTTCAGCATTTGATGGATCTGGAATTTTCTCTGTCAGATGGAACATCTTTTCCTTTTTTAACAACATTTTCATCGAAAACTTCCAATCTTGAAAATCATCTGCTCCCGCTAATTTATTTATCGTAAATAAAGCTTTTCGAGACATCTTTTGCGTATACTGGGCCCATAACCTATTAGAAAATTAGAATTAAATACACGGATCGACTGTTTGATAGACCATTTATTCAATGACAAGATATCTAGTGATTCGACTCAATGAAAGTGTTTAAAAAAAGTAAATACCCAAAATAAATTTCACTAGATGGCGTTACTATGTCCGATAAATTTCTACTAATGGCAATGGACCAAAGACTAATTTACGTTTTAAATAAAAGAAAAACTACAGTAAATTTTTGAAACTTGGTGTTTTATGACACACATAGAACTATTAAGTGTTTAAATAACTAAAATAAATGTCACTAGATGGCGTTATTATGTCCGATAAATTTTTACTAATCACAATGGACCAAAGACTAATATACGTTTTATATAAAGAAATCGGCGTAACTTATATACATGGTTCTACCGTACCTGCCAAACTGGATCGATGCCGAATGGATAGGGCGTCTGCAAGTAATCCCACGAGTCCGGGTTGAGTTGCAACAGACGGTTCTGCTGGAGGGTGGTCAGGTTGTAATTGTTCCGCCAACTACTCCCGAATATGTTGAGACTCTTCGAGAATATATCGTTGTATGTGAGACCGGTGTACATAGAGAACAGCCCCATGAGAAGTATAATGTAACGACCGCCGAAGAATATGTTCCAGATCTGCAAAAAAATACTTAGTTAATTGAATGTAACCTTTTTTATCCTATAACCCTTTGTATGAGGACATGTACTCGTAAGTAATAAACAGACCCCTGAAGGCCTAGTCTATTTCTTTTGAAACGAAATTTCGTCTATTTTCAAAAAACAATACTACAACCTCAAAGAATTTTTCCGATGATTTATAATGCAACAGCGGTAGCACCTGACACTGTCTCTGATGCACAGATAATCTTCACGGATATGATTATAATAACCATTCGAAATGTTACGAATTATCATTCGAGATAGAATAGGACTTCAGATGTCATGTGAATTAGAAAGACTTATATTATTAAAATTGAGAAGTATTATAAAAATAAGAGGTTGTGTATAAAAAATACACAACTGCTATTATAGACCATATGGGTATTATTATAAGGTTGAATTCCGAATACCTCGCTGTCGATCTTTTTCGCTTGCAATGGTTTCTCCTTGTAGCACATCCAGAATCCGAAGGCAGCCATGAGTGCGCCGTGTCCGAGATCACCGAACATCACAGCAAACAGGAACGGGAATGTTATTATCGTGTACGGTGCTGAACAGACAGACAATTTACTTGATACAAATAGTGTTTAGAAATATTCAGTCGTCGAAAATGATGTAGCAAATGTATTCCAATTTACTGAAGAATAGTCAACTTAATCAAAATACATGTAATATCGGTAATTAATAAAAAAAAAAATTATATTTTTTTGAGAAAATTCAATTTTAGAAAAGAGAAAATTTTTGAGAAACATTTATTATAAGGAATATTTTATGAAACAAACAAACCAGGGGTGATTAAGAATTCGAATTACTTCATAATGAAAGAGAAGGTGATGAAAGTTGTATGTACTCTACAAGGGATTGACGTGAAAATATATAAAGAGAGATAAATTACATGATTTACGCATGAAAAATTATATTATTATTAGAGGTGTATCAACTCTATTGATGATAATAATTGCAACTCCTTTTACTCTCACAGCCATTCGCCTTTGGAATGCTCTTCTATTTCACATTAGAAATGCTCAGAGTAAAGTGATATTCAAGGGATTGGTGCGTGAGTACTATCTTGGACTATTATTATGTTGTTCTCATTCTGTAAGTTATTTATCTGTATGTATGTAGATGGGTATTTATTTATGTGTAATTAGTATTTATGTAATTATTCAGTATTTATATCCATATTTTGATGGTGTTAATTTTATTAATAGATTTTTAGAGATTAAATTTTGTTCTTATCGCGTAACACGCAAATCCAACATCCAGTCGGGTTGACTGTTAGATTATGCTTTTGGCATTAAGTCCGCCGTTTGTGTTATATTATAAGTAATAAATAGTAAATAAATAATACTGACCAGGGTTGACCTCACGGTAGGTGGCAACACCATACGCGTAGATGAGGTTTTGAAAAGCGTTGGTGAACTTGTTGGTGCGGTTGTACGTGGGCGGATCTTCTGCGGTCTCCATACGGTTCAAAATGGGCGGTACCGAGCTGCCGCTGCGTTCCTGATCGACAAAATGATACATATTTTTGTTATCAATCTTTAGCACTTATGGATAACAAATAATATATGTACTGCTGAATAATACACATGTGTATTTAACATGTTTTATATGGACCACAAATGTACCTTAGTCCCTTACTGGGTCGGTGGTGATATAGAAATATGAATACAAGTTTGACATTTGTGATTGAAACAAATACGATTTGCACCTTTTTTATTCTCTTTTTTTTTTAATGCATAATATACTAATGGCCGCTTGCAGAAATGTACTTTAAACTTGTCATTAGTTTAAAGTGACATTACAGATGTAAATTTTCAGTTTTATTACATTAATTGTAGCTAAGTCGTCGTTAACACTTAAAAATAGTTTATGCAATTGAGTGTAAAACATTTAATTCAAAAATGGATATTATTCAAACATAGTAAAATAGGTCTACTATGGTATAAAATACAATAATTTTTATACTACCTAAGGTGAGCTTAATAAATATGATAATAAAATAATGTGCCACAGAAAAATAATGTGACAAAATACAATTGATTATTTCCCAATAGGTCGTGTGAATCAAAACTCCAGTATAAAGACAGAGACGTTAGAATAAAAACAGACACGACTGATGTTTTTACCATATGAATTATTGTCCTTTGTTGTTTGTTACACCGACAACTATTTACTCCAACCATATTTATTTGGTTTATGCGTCTATGATTATTATTTAGTAGAATTACGCATTTAGAAGTTTTTATTGTCTTTGTTAATTATGTGTCTATTTGTATACAACCACAGAACAGGAACAAAGAATAGAAGTCGCAAGTGGGTAGCATATGCTCTATGAGACTACGTTCAGTTGTCATTGACATACACTAGTGGTGTTTTTTAATTAAAAAATAGAAACATGCATTATTGTATAATACTCGTAATACAGTGTGAAAACAAAAGTAAAACCATTAATGTATGTAATGGAGGTATAGCTTACCGACGGTGAGTAATATTTAAAGAAATATTCATTTAAATCATAAAATCTCTTATTATAAGCAAAAAATAAGTAAAATCTACTTTATGTCTAAGGCACGTGAGGTTCTATTCCAAACCATTAAAATTTATTTTTTTAAAGTTTCTACACGCTATTCTGTAGATCTTGAGCGCCACTACATTAGGTTATGTGGTATTAATACAATAATTTTAATCTTTAAATTAATGATGCCATGCAAGTGCGTCCATCGATTTTGATATTAGCTATTTTACCGCCACCTCGCCTACATAAATTATAGCCTATGACGATCGCGCACGCTGCAACTTCCCGTAGATGAAAGAATTTTGAAAATAGATCCAATATTGTTGAGGCAAAGTTTGATTATTTGTTTGTTATCCAATGCAAACAAACAAATAATCAAATCGTTTCTCTCTATAAGAATTAGTTCAGATTAAGTTTGATAAGAAAACACATTTATTTAAAAAAAAAATCCTTTATAGTGTAAATTTTTTATCGTTTTAATTATTGATTTTGACTGTTTTGGTTCTATGAATTTATTTATTTTATCTAAATTAAATTATGATTTAAAAAATCTCATTAAAACAAATAACGGCATTTCATAAACGAAAAGCAATTAAAATCACATATTTATTTATTTATAATTGAATTGATTCAATAAAAATTAAACCGACTTTAAATAAATCGTCATAAAGGGAAACGACTGAAAAATAAAGAAATGACAAAATAAAAAAATAATTAGCAATAGTGAAACACCAACAATTTTTTTAGGTCAGTGTCATTCATTAGTAAGACGTAAAACAGCACAGCGGTTTTCATACAAAACAAATGGCTTCTGCTCTTTTTTTCTATTCTGTGTATACATATATACCAAAAGGGATATCATCAATATTACTAACCGTTCCACGCCGGAGCGCCAACTGAATAGTTTCCAGGTCTAAAGCTGGCACCCAGCACTCAGCAATGAGACATTTCTGCGTCACGTCCAAGTTGAACAAGTTCAGAGTGTGATAGATGGCCTTGATCTTCCTGACCTTCACGAACCAATTTTTGATGTTTTTCGCAGCTGCTACTAGGACACGGTGACGGTGGTCTTGTGTCTGGCCCAACACCTGGACAAATATAAATATTTTTGGTTTTTACACCTGCCTTAATACCATCTTAATTGATTAACACCTTCAAAGGGACTAGAACACCAACGACTTATTAACGTATATATAATAAGGTTCTATTTATTTGACAAACCAAATAAAAATATGAAACAAATCATGAAAATGGGAAGAATTAAACTATTTATTTTGCTAAGGTGGTTTTGTCTTTCGAATTCAATAATTATATTTTTTGTTATAAAACTTTTTTTTTATATAAAAACAAAGAGGTGTGTTTCCTCTTTGTTTTTATGAAAAAAAAAAATATTGGTTAATAGTTAACTGTATTTTATTTCATTGGAGTCATGTGTATTGAAGTATTTTACCTGATCTACATTATACTTGCATCCTTAGTGTGTCAAAGTCACAAGTGAGCGCCTACTGTCAACGGTCTGCGCTAGTGTTGGTATAATGCTATCGTAAAATTACGATAATAGCGGCAAGGCCACATCGCCCTATACTTTAACAGCGAAACTATTTATTGTTCCCTGCGTTTAGATGCGATTTATGATCAGTAACCAAGCTGTAAACTACAATGTACTGTGAGATAACGACGATGAACATGCTATAATTTATAACTATTTATATTATAATACGATTGAAAATATTCAATAAATTCAAATCATGTACAGCTTCAGCCTGCTTCAAGAAATAGTATTTTGTCAAATACTATTGAAAAATAATAACTGCTTTTTAACTAATATAATTAACTGCAAGGCTGATAATTTTCGACTTTCTAAGAAAAGAAAATTATATAATATATATGTATGACATATATTTAATAACGAATACAAGAAAATACTTATATGCATTATATTCACACCCTAAAATGGAATCTACAATTAATATTTTAAATTAAAATGACAACTAAAAGAGATAGTGGAAATTGCTGTTGGACAAATAAGAGATATATCTTTATGAGTGCTGAAACACAAAAACAGCTCCTTTGTCATTTTTAAGAGTAACAAAATGTATAGTCGAGGGCGACAACTGAGAACTACCGTACAGTATCTATACACACGGTTACTAAATTGAAAATTTAATCATGTTGAAACTGTACTTAAACGTCACTTAAACAGGTTAGTTTTTTTATGATCAGTTGATAACAGTTTGATAAAACTAAGATTATTCCACATAAAACGTAAAAATCTTGAGTTGTTGCAAATAATCAGTTCAGATTTTGTACTTTTCTTAATTCAGAAACCGGCCGGTAGTCTCGTATCTCTTACAATACGATTTCTGAACGACATCCGGCTCGAAGGATCATTGTAACGTTATATACCGTGTTCAAGTCCTCGATTCTGGTCATAACACCCATCGCCATCTCGCGGCGGTCTGCCGGCGCCTCCGGGCAAGGGTAGAGAGTTGCACGGAAACCTTCGCATATCTTCTTCACTCTTGTCTTCAGTTGGTCGCCTTGGAAGAATATGATGAACACCGATTTGTACACTCGGTCCGACTGCATAAGGAAATTATTATTTAGAATCCAATTTTTGGTTCGGTTTTAGATAGCGCTAAAAATGCTCTAAAAGAGATTTTAGATTTGAAATAACTATGATGTCATTTACAGAATATAAAAATTTATAGTATTAAATGTCTGCAGTTAACTGACTGCAAAGACTATTTACTATTTGTCACATTGTTGTTTATGTTCTGGTTAATCGTATTCAATATTAATGAGCAAAACATTCAACGCGTCAATCACGTTTCTTCGAACTGTTTCTTCAAATAAGCAACATTGTCGTAAACCGGAAAATAGAAGAATCAATAGATCTAGACATTGAATCAGCAATCATAGCCTTACAATAGAAATCTCCGTACAGTGACATATTTGTATAACACGATGTGTATCAAGCCAAGCAACCTAATATGCTGCTGTAAAGTAAATATCCAACTTTAATTTTACTTAAATCGCTTATATTAAACTAGCTGTTTTCCCGCGACTTCGCCCGCGTATATTATAGCCTATGTCATCCGCGTATGATGTAGTTTGCCCTTTACAAACAAAGTTTGAAACTTTACCACTTCTAAAGTCAGTCTTATTTCATAGGTAGGTAAGGAGTATAAGAAAACACTGATCTTGTAGTAAACGTACGCTTTTTGCTGTACTGCTATAACGAATAATTTAATATAAAAAATGGCAACACTCACAGAAGAGGGGTCTTCCAATGGCGTGTCGATCTCAGCCTGCCTCAGGAAGACGTTCCCGCGACACGCGCGCCACAACATGCGCTCGAACGCGGGTATGCGCTCGCGCAATATCACCCCGGCCACGAAACTACACGCAAAACACGTTTAGCATGCACCCCCGTAAACAATAATAAACATATGTTTGTGTGTGGTGTATTGTCAATATATTATTTCCACATACATCAAACAAAGTGAAAACTACAGTTCAAAATTAATTTCAGAAGAACCAATGTATATTGCCCAGAGAAAATAAAAATGGATGCCTGTTAAATAATACAAGACCACAAACAAGGGAGAGAAGAAATATTTATACAAAAGATGTGGTTGTATGATAAAAAAATTCACTAATAACTTAATTATGATCTACACAACTTGCAGCTTATAATCCTTAACGATATAAATGAGTTAAAAATTTTTGAATACAATTGATAATATGTACTTTAAAATAAATCTATGAAGATAATAATTAAAACAAAGGTAAATATGTTATTGATAATTTTATCATGATTCAATAGGTATGCAAAAATGCAATATAACGTGAAATAAAGTTAATATTTCAATTTATTCTAGATTATAAACTGCAATGGAAAGAGACGTCGATTTGTATAAAACTTTATAAAAAAATAACTTAATTGTATTGATTCTACGATAATATAAGTTTTATAAATTACTAGCTTTCTGCCACCAGCTTCGCCCGCGTCCCATTGGAACTATATAGTGGGATAAAAAGTCGGCGAGTACCCTATCTGTATACCAAATTTTATCAAAATCTGTTAAGTAGTTTTGGCGTGATTGACGAACAAACACCAAAACAAAGATACTTTCACATTTATAATATTAGTAGGATGATTAAAAAACATAACATGAGTTAGTAACAGTTTTGATGATCTAGAAATTTGTAATAATTGAATGTTAGTCACAACTCAAATTATATAAGTAACTGTCACAATTTACAATAAATCTTTACAGTGGAAAATAACTTTTGAATTCGATCATCGAGGAAGACAATCAAACGATAAGCGAATTGCGTGTAATCATTACAAAAAATAGGTGTGATATTCGTGACAAATGATAATGGATATCTTTTCGGAATAGGGTCTCCAGATAGACGAGACTTGACTGGACTGTAGTTTTTATATGTTGTCTATCTTGCCGGTTTCTGAAAAAAAAGTTCCGCCAAAGATAAAAAAAAAAACAGGATTGCATTTTTAGGATCCTTTTATTGCAAGTAGAAAGTCAATAAGTTTCGCCTATACGAAACAGACCCACTGCGCCATTATTTACCATTTCACATATACTTTCTATCGAAACTAAAGTGTCAGGATATTAGATAAAATATCAATAAAAATCTGTGATATGCAATAGGTAGTTATAAAAAACTTACAGCTGATAAATATTTAATTACTTCAAGCAGACGTTACAGAAGTAGGTATTCACAGGTTTGTGCCCATCATTTATTGTCAAACACGAATGGTATGCATTAATTTTAAAGATAACTCATTTAGCATACTCCAGTATAATACAAAAATAGTAATATTTGTACAATACAATTACAAACACAAATACAATATCGCATAAAGATGATTCAACACGTGAGCGCCACGTGAAAACTGTGTCTGGGTAATACGCGGAAATGTCAAGTCTACCCAGAATAAGGGCAAGTCGACGTCAAAGCGAAATCTATCTCAACCTCCATGACATTTATACAAATAACTATTGTTATTATTTCTTATTTGTTATTTTTACAAATTCTACTAAATATTGTTCTAATGTCACTGTTCGTTGACTCCCCCCCCCCCTCCCTAAAATGTGACGTAATTTATGGATAGTTAATAAATTATAAAATAATAATAAACCTAGTTAATAAATTGATGACGTCAGAATGACAAAATAATAATCATTATCATCCCTTCTTAGATTCGAAGATTCGAGCCTCCTTATGGATAAAATCTGATAGAGAAAACAGACCAAAAAAGAAGTGAAAAAAAATATATAATTACATAAAACATATCATAAATTCAAAAGCAGAATATAAGGATCAACAGTCAAGACGCATTCCTTTTTTACCAATCAACGGATCCCCGTATAATTTGAATAGGTTCCGACTGTTGATCCTTCTAGTCTGCTTTTGAATTTATGAAGGTTAAGACAAATCGATTGACGTATAAATCATCAAAATTGGCCAAGCCGTTGAGTCTCTACAATGCCATACTGGAAACAAACATACTAGTCTATACATAGACTAATAAACACATTAACCCCTTTTGAGATGCGCAGTCGGCTTAAAAAGCAACGCGGGCTTAGTGTCGATTGGTAGGTGCTATAATAACACATGCTCATGCGCAGAACTGCTTAACGTGCCCTCTCAAAACACGGAGAAGCTTGAGATATTACATTCTTGGTCACCAGTCCTATGCTCGGTCCTTGCAACAATTGCTTAACCATATCGCAGACCGAGAAGCGATATCGAGCTCTTTTGTATTAAATTAAATCTGTCATCGCCTTCAAAATAAGAGCTGGAGGTGCTGCGGTTGGATTGAAGTAAATATGTTTTCTCTCTTTGTTCTTCCAAAACAACATTCGCGGAATAGCAAATTATGACGTCACAAGTTATAGTTTACAGGTGGAAAGAGTCGCGTTAACTTATAAAATAATTTAAACATACAATAATTTATAAATTAAGTTTATAAATTTTAATTTTGCGTGATAAAAATAATTCGTTAAATATCCGTCAAATATGGGCATAATTATTACTGGTACCAACCAGTTTCAATAGAATGAAATCATAGACATCTCATGCTTTTATGTAACCATGTCTTTATTCGTATTTTCCGCGGCATACAATTAATATTGAATTGTATGCTATACCGGTCAAGGTTCTCTATTCAATTAGATTCCATACAGAATACGCGTTTTGGTGTTCTTAAAATACGTTTATTGCAATGCTATTTAGTTCAATCAAACGAAAAATATAAATCCTTATTTGCTAGAACTAATAGCGCTGTGTTGATATTTGAATACCAAATTTAATTTCCTTTGTAGTACATCTACAAGGGAAATCAACTTCAATAGATAATTCATTAACGAGTGACGTCATTCAGAGAATATACTATAATTAATTAACATTGATTGTTATCATATTAGATATGGTTAGGAGTAGCCATTGTCATTATGAGACTGACAAAACTGTTGATTACAAATCCCAGTCATCAATAGTAAAGTTAAATGAAAATGTACTTTAACATCATCGCGATAAAGTTAAAAATGAATAGACAATTTAAGCATATTTGAATATCAATTGTAAATCAGGAAATTAAACAACCGGTTTTAGCGTATAAGCAACATGTTATGTTCATTTCAATTACATGTCACTTCCTTTAACCTACATCTCAGACGCGTACAGTCTCGTTACTCACGAAACTATGACGTAACATGGCGTCCGTCACCTTGGCACAGCACCAAGTCTGTCTGTGTGTCTGCAACGCGATATTTATATCGTCTGCTTTACCAAATAACCATAAACATTAGCTTTCGAGGAATAACAAACTAGGTCGACTTGAAACCTCTATCGTCAAAGGATGATAAAATCTTCATTGATCGTCATGGTAATTGTCCATGGCTTATATAAAGATAATTGAAATGAAACCATTTAAATGCTTTAACTACAATGAAGTTTGTAAAATTGAAATAATTAAATATTTTAATAAATTTATTGATATATGAAAATTTGAAATTTCAGTTGGAAAAGCATAGAAGTATCTCAATTTCTCTTTTTTAAAATGTTACTAAAAAACCTACCTACTACGTTTCTGTTTAAATTCCAACGAATTCCCCAAAAATAACCATCTCGTTACTTCTCAACATATTCTTTATATTTTACTCTCTAGCGATCTAGGGAAACCTGATGGCGCAGTGTTAAGCGCTCCCGGTCTAAAATGCGAGGGTTCAGCGACATTCGTAAGGGCCAGTCAAAGGATGGTTTATTATCTCGAGATCCTCCGTGCTTCGGCAAGGATGTTAAGTCGTTTGTCCCATCTGCATCTGCACCCACAAATCTATACTGGGCCCGAGGTTTGGCGCGTTCTACCTATTCAATTCGATTTCATCCATAAGGAACGTATGAGTCCCAGCAGTGGGAACACCAACAGGCCGGCGACGATGATTTTATATATTGTTTTCTTCACGAAACCATTTTTATTTTGCAATTTCATTTGTCAACCAAAGTCGGGCTCTACCAAACATCTCTATGTTCATATAAAGAAAAAAATTGAATAATCCCCGATTATGAATTATGCATCATCAAGCAACTCACCTTGTATTGTACATTAGAGCGATACTGTCGTTTTCCTCAAACTTCAAAATATACTTGTCCGACCAAGTTGGTTTATTGAAATTCGTAGGATAAGTATCTTTTAATACCCATATAATAAATGATGAGGATAAATACAACCACAGCAGTATGTAGGTAATTTATGTTTTTTACACTTATTAAATAATCACATTGTTCGAAAACCTTAAGCAAAAAATATAAATATAGTAGATATTTATTAATTTCCGAAGACTATACGAATCAACGTCTCCTTATCAATAAAAAATATAATTCAAGTTTCTGACTCGTGTTATTCAATCAAGTATTAATTACAACTTTTAATAGACAAGCATTCTTTACTAATGACTAAACAAACATTTACTATTCGAAAAAGTATATATTTACTTATTGAAAAATGTAGAGAAAAAAAAATGTTTTGCATGTTTGGACTTGACCGTGAACGTAATTGTAATATTAGCAGCACCAGCCAGCAGCTGTATCAATATTAAAAAGGAATTGCCTGATTCAAAATTAAAAATAGAATCTATTGTACAGCATATATGTATATATAATTTTGATTACAACATACACATATTATTGGTGTATATAATGTAATTTATCCATATAATAATGTTGACCCGAGATTTGCTTTAGACAAATGCCTACAATACGGGACAAGAAACGTCAAAGAGGCACGTAATTATCAGCATAACGCCTAGACGCAGTTGCCAATACAGTTAACTTGGATCATCAACCTCGTCTGCTCTTATATCGTGAGCGCCTCGTTAACGCCCTAGTCCTAGTGACATTATCACCACAATAATGCACACGTTAAAAAAATTGTTAGTCAACAGAATGACTCATTTAATAAATACCAACGCGTCTCAAAGAGAAACATTACTAGAATATTGAAAAAGAACAAACAACAAAAAACAACATTTTCGAAAAACAACTTTGATTCGACACGTTCATCAGATATTTGCAATTTGTATTAGAGCGAATAAATAATGCAAAAAAAAAATCCCCAATAAGGAATGCTCTGGAACATCCAGTGACACTCACTAATTACTTGTAAGTACAAAACATTACATTAGCTTTTATCAGTGTATATCAAACAGAAATCATGTTTTAATAATAGAAACCGACACATTCGAAATCGTACAGTTACTAGCTGTTCTCGAAGATCACTAGTTCCGTTAGTAACTTTTAACAAAGATAACCTAATGAACGAATTTTTTAAGCGACAAGTTTGATTCATTAATAATTCGTATTCAAAAAGAAAATCAATATTAAATCCTACCTACTTCGTAAATTTTTACTATAATAGTTAATAGTGAGTCAGATCACCGCTTTAAATGTACGGGAATAAACATAATGTACTCTTCTACTCATACACATTTATCGGTCATTTGTTATGAACAATTCAATGGAAAAAAACAATAGAAAACCACATAATCAACACAAGGATTTCGTATGTGGTGACCATTAAATCCTCAGTATCACAATTATATAACTTTACAAACGTGGTGTCATTGTTGCATAGCAACCGTTTATCTCTTAGATAAAATTATTTTTCAGCCTAATGACTGTATCTTCAAACAACCTCCAGCAGAAGTATATTTAGAATTTAATGACAAGTGTATTGTACAAATTTAAGAGACAGGAAGCTTGTTAGATTACGATTAAGTTATGATAGACTTAAGCCAATTGACGCAAATTGACTGATTCAAAATCTAAGATAATATCAATGTACAATCTAAAAACACATCATATTCCAATTTAATCTATCTATTTTGACGGGTAGTAGATGAATCTCATAAACGTCGGATTTAGATTGTTATCGACAGTGATCCTCTTGAAAATGAATAGATACATGTAATTCAAGTACACTTTATTGTATACCAAAAGAGGATAAACCTAATGTTGTAAGTATTGTAATATATGCAAATAGTTTAGATGCAGTCTTTACAAAGATTAATGGACCAGAACGCGTAACAATTGGCACAATGCGTGCGTTAACTTATATTAATGAGTTTACAAATCCGTGACACCTCGGTAAAGAGGATTATAATGCAAAGCAGCAGTACAATGAAGATAAAAGGATGAATTATAAGTTCTCCAGGCATATCTGCTCATATTAGAAAGTGCTAACTGCTACTCACATAAAAATTACGCATAACGATGACGCAATATATCATTAAAGAGTTCAAGGCCAGTGTGAAAATTTGGATTCTTTGTTAAAACATATTACTTATCTAATTGTTCTTTAAGAGTGTTACCAATAAATAAAAAATATATAGAATGCTGCGCCTTTGAAACATGAATAAATAACACGAGAAAACTTAAATTATTATAATGCAAAAAAAAACATTAATATCTAAGACACTCGTACCAAGACGCTGTTAGAAACTTTGAAATGAAAGTACATACGCATTTTGTTTATTGCTCACATATAATAACTGCACTCTGCTACAAAGTAATTTACAAGGTATACCACAAGGGTCAACACTAGGTACACAACTATATACATGAATGAAAAAAACAGGTAATAGAAATATAGTGAGCACGAAACAGACCGATTTTCAGCATTTACAATGTTCGCACCTAAGACCATTATCTATTCTTGAAGTCCAAGTTACCTCGCACATAGTTTTAATAGATTAAACATAATTCGTGAAAAGAAGGTGAAGTATTAGTAAGCAAAGTGAGTGTTATATTCAAAGAAATGTTCTTTACCGAACATTACCGTGGAAATATGGAGAAAGCGGATTTATTCAATTTTGTCTTAAATTCATTCTATCTTCAGACGCACACATGACAAACACACCACTACCCGCACCAGCTACAACTAGCGACCCAATTACATTAATAATACAATATACACTACTAACCAAGGCAGGAATTCCAAGGATTCTTGCTTATCCCGTAAACTAAGGAATAAATACAGCGATTAAGCAAAGTCAAAATATTAATAGATGAGTTTCAAGCAATTTGTTATAAGATATTTTAGTAACATTCTCTTATATCTGTTGCAGAATAAGACTTAAAATGTTACTTTTATTTAAGATCAATAAGTACGTCAATAATTTTATTGGCGTTTATATTGTGGCATGCAATTTCAAAACTTTAATTTCATTTTAAAATATAGTATCAATGAAGTTCACGGTACAGTTGTCGTCTGTATTTCATTTTTAACTTTTAAGTTCTTGTTACCCAAATTAATTATGGAATAAAGAAGATAGAAATTCAAACAGATACAGCAGCACGACATCATTATCTTCTACAGAACCGAAGAAAGAATTAAAATTTACGAACAAATTTTCTGCCATATCTGTGTGAAAATCTTTATCGATCATACTTACGTCAGGACTCGTGAGACATTCACATTCACATAGCACTAGTTTAACTAGTTTAATTTCAAACCGGTTGTTGATCAATAAACTGGAGCCGAACGGAAGTATCATCGATGCTACCGGAAAGTCCGACTTAACATCGGCCGTGTTGTGGCAAACGAAATGTCGACTTTCTTTGTCAGCTATTGTTTTGATTATAGGGGATAAGATATGTGGGACGGGTGTCACACTAGTGCAGTATGTACACACGAATACATACCCTAGTTGGACTTGGCCCATATGTTTGTTCGGGTCGTCGGATATCAGGGCGCGCGTCATCGATTCAGTGGTACTGGCACCACCCTCGTGCTATCGGACAAACATAAACATGTACAAATGCCCAGGACGGCACACTTAAGCACACTCGGCCAAACGTCCACGATAGAACATGTCCCCCAATGCCTGTTGTAGTAAAAAAGTAGCGCCAACGCGTCACTGAAATACAAACGTCGAGATTCGGTGCCAGTGTTACCTAGCTACTTCTAAACAAAAGCGGTATTTGTATTGTTAGTTGTATCTACTTCAAATAACATTGTGTATACCATCATTACAGTGAAAACTAAAAAGTACATAACATTAATAAGCTAGTGACCTAACTTTCGCTGAACATCGACAGTACACGTATAATCCTGATACTATGGCTACAATATAACATGAACATAAAATCATAATAGCATGCATATGACAAAATATAGGTACAGAAAGCATGACGGAATGGAAATAAAAAATAAATACCGATATACTCCTATCACGCATCGTTCGAACCTAGTATACCCTTTCGCTAACATCAATGGACTTCAAAAATAAATCATGTTTGGGATAACACTGTTAGTTTAAAACTCACTCAGGCAGCAATTGGTTAGCACGCTCCATGTGGGGATCAGATCAAGATTTTGAAGCTCGACAGTATATTTTTATACGAGGGAGTGCCTTGCGGTACTACGCTAAGCTGTCATTCCATCACACAAGAAGTCAAAGAGAGGTGTTATGTTGATGATATACTATAAACCGGCCGACTCCAATGCTTGCCTGAGTGGTGATCGGTAGACTCCCGTATCAGCGTCACAGTACAAGCGCTGTAAAAATAATATAGCTCTAAGACATGCTTTCACTTCCACGCTGTTTATGACTAAAGGTTCCCTATCGGCAAGCCCCCATAAAAATTTCGAAAGCGTAGAAGTCAAAGTGGTCAGAGAGCCGACATAATCAGGTTGAGCATACCCTAGCTTGAGCGCTTGCCCTCCCGCCATGAGTCCCTCCTCCCCCAGAAGAGTCACTTGTTCCTCCTCCCGCGAAGGATCCGCCATCTTGTGCACACATACGCCAACATGGCGTCAAGGTCAGTGACGCATCCAATGTCAATGTCACATTCCGTTTGGCCGTGAAAAAATTTATTGACAGCGTGAAACCAGCCAACAGATACGTTGTTTTTTTTTATAATATCTAATTAATAGTCTTTTAACTTTCAAGATCATTGATATGTTAACAAAACGTGACATTGCCAATAGGACATGACAAAACGGGTCGATAAATAAGCAATATTATATGATGATAATATTTATAATTGAAATATTTTTTGAAGCCCACGTTTCTTGTCAATGCGTTTACATAGTAAGAAAAGGAAAAGAAACCACGACCTTTATAAAATATATTTTCATGTATCTAGTTAGTGAATATAATTTGCAATAATAACATATTAGTATCTTATACTGTCTTCTGTTAATTAAGGAGTGCTTCCTATAAAAATAAAATAAATTGGAGATCAAAATAATACATAAAATAAAAGAATTTTGTATGAGACACTGACATACATAAACAAGGCGTAAAAAAAACGATGGTAAGTAAAAATAGCCTGCCAATTACTGATCGTGGAGCTATTTTTTTTCTACAACAGCTTCGACATTATAATAGTTTTAACTAGATATCTATTAACTTTGTTCAGCAAATAGACATTTAATTCTCATTAGACAATATTCAATTAAACAATTGAATTCCCTCCAATGGTATTTTAAGGTAATTTATTCTACCAAGCTTTAATATAAATCAAAGGTAAACGTATTAAAGCAAAACCTAAAGTCTGAATTAAGACGCTCATATATTTATAGTAATTATAAAGATAACGGAAAAGACTAAATTTTAGCATTTAATTCTCTAAAACCTCGGTAATTCGTCAAACATTTGAACATAACGTGTTCAGGTATTAAATTGCATGTTATAATATCCAACATCACGAGGACAACAGACGCTGATATATCTTATCAACAGCCATACACGGAGGATTTCATTCATTAACGGAATGGGCTGTTATGAGTTTATAATAGTGACGTGCCTATTATTGCGGGATATTGTTGGCATTCCATTATTTTATTTCACTCATTCTCAGTTTACAGATATTCGTTTATCGCAGCATATACTAACACGCTACATTTACTTATTATTTGACAGCCTATCAAAAAAATCATGACCAAAGAAAAGAAGACAAACCAGCATATATGAATGCAAGTGAGTCTGTATTCGAATAAAGATCATCCGAATTCTATTTTCGTATACACACAATCTGTGTGGTACTCGAGTCAACCTGAATGCACATTATTTTGACCGAATATTTGGCTCACGTTGCCAATGTTTAGAGCCCGTCCACTAATCACGTGAGGCTCAAATGAAAATCACAAAATATCACTAGTGGGGAGGGAAGTGTAGTAAATCATGTGTAATTATTTTTTCCTCAAACATGATATTACTTAACGGAAAATCAGCGTCAAAAATGAAGATTTTTGTAGGTATTAAAAATACACGTGATTTAGTCTTAAACCTCACCATGTATCACCAAGGTTAATTTAAAAAAAATTTAAATAACTAATTTATTTTGGACATGTCCATTATGTAAGTAACAATTTACTTATAAGCTATGTTTATTATATCAAAATATTTCTTTCAGTGTACAACATAGGGAAAGATGGATTCAGCCTTCAAATCATGGGAAAGTTCTTTGCCTTCATGAAAATCTCCAATTAACAATGTTACTAACACTTTTACCTTTTCATACTTGAAATTGAAGAATTCTTAAATAGGTATTATGAAAAATGTATTTTATTAAATTGTTTATTGACGTTACTATAAATATCATCAGGCCCAATAGGACCATCATGAAGGATAACATATTGTAAAATTTTCTTGGTTTTGCATACAAAGTTCTAATTAAAATATCTACATATGGAATGTATGAAATTTTGATTCAATAACTATTGATTTGAAATCTTTGATGTGGGAGAAATAATATCAAAAATATTTATTTTGCTATAAAATTAAAGGCAGAAACAATTGAATTTTAACCAAATAAAACCATTATCATTTTTACGTTAGTCTTTACTGTGTCAAAACTTTTAGGGTTATGATAAGATAAGCATTTGGTTGAAACATTATTTATTCTCAATGTTACAAATTTAATGTTATCTTAATACTAAATGTAATTGATTACAACATTATCAATTAGCTCTACCTATAATATAAAACACTAATCCAATTCACATGACTTAATTAATTGTTATATAACTACAATACTAATCAAATGCTCAGATTTCTATTTTGAGAGTCTTAGTATGATTTCATGAAGTAGCAGATATTGAAGCAAAATGCATATAGAAAATAAAATATTTTACAAGATAAATAATTAAAATAAGTTTAAACATTGTGTAAATAAAATATTATTATTTAAAATAAAAACAATATTCTAATGGGTATTTGAAACATAAAAATAAACAATTTAATTTTTATAAAGAAATCATTTATTAGAGAAAAGAAAGAGACTTGATTTTTTTTTAAAATGAACAATTAGAAACATTTAGCATTATTTAAAGGGAATATTGGATAATATTTGTAAAAAAAACAGTCCTCCATAGATGGATGGAAAAAGAGTGTTCTTCAGTTAGTCAGTCGGTAACTATTCAATAGATTGGGAACCTATTTTAATGAAGTATATATTGGGTTTGATTATATTTTATGTTTGTTTTGTTGAGAATATTAGAAGATATGGATTGGTCACAAGATATTTTGAAAACTGAACAGTTTTTAATTGAATAATTATAGATTTAATGAGACTTGGCTTAGCATAAATTACAAAGCCTTCACTTTTTTTTATTAAACTGAGACATACCTACTATTACTATAGTGATAAAATGTTTTCAATTTTTTATAATATCTTTGGTGTATATTTACTTTTGAAGCTTTCTTGGGCAAATCGCAGCATACTGCCTATGCGAAATAATCGGGGTCATTACACGTCTTTATGATGATGATTTGGTCAGACGCCTATGTTGTTCTAGATTCTGTGTAGGTACTTACATCACGAAACTGAACAAGTCCCAATTCTCCTAATTCAGACACGCAAGCATACGCCGCTTCACTTTGTAGAAAAAGCTGGCATAATGTCATTTCCTCACTTCTAAACAACGACCCCATTTTGCACGTTTTCTTTTCCACAGCAAACAGAAAAATCAAACTACTAACTACTAATTATATGAACAGTCCCGTCGCATCAGTCTGCTGGCAGACTAGCGGCGACGAAACTGAATAAATGGCTGAAATCAATCGATCAATATAGGATTTTCCTACGATGTTGCACCACAGACATTGACAGAAGCCCCAGATTTCCGTAATGTCAATTCGTCATCATTACGTCGCAATGACATTACAACGGAATTAATGTTGCTAGCTTGAGAAAATTTCACTATTTTTATTACTATGAATAAGGAAGTATTTTAAGAAAAAAAAGAAAGCACTAAAAAGCGCCTCACTAGATGGCAACTCTAGCAAAAGTTGATTTTTGCAGGAAACCAATGGACCAAAGATAGTCATTTCTGTTCCTTTTAACTAACATATTATACTAACTAAAATTTGCAAAGTTTGAAATTTAGATATCAAAACAAATACGAAAAAGTACAAACAGAATATGAGTTCTTTTATACTTGAAAGAAAACCGAAAGGGTTTGCATAAAGAAATTAACAAGGTGTACCGTAGCGACATCTAGTTTGATTTCGGAAACTGATTTTTTTTTTAATACTTCATTGTTGCCCTATTAAACGACATGAGCGCCCTCGTTTATTTACTACTGTTTGTGTCGTACTGTACCTACTCTAAGAACATAAAAATATGACGGAATTCTTTGGCACTTTTGGAGACGGGTTTGGCAGATTGCTAGGTAGTGTCAGGCAGATTTAACATTTTTGAATAGAAGTGTAAAAGTAACGAATAAAAGTGTATTCGTATGTATTCGTTACTATAACAATTATTACTCGTTATTTTCGTATCGTAACAATGAGTAGGTATAAAAAAAACGAAAGCACTATAAAAGCATCTTCACTAGTTGGCGACTCTAGCAAAAATTAATTTTTGCAGAAAACGAATGGATCAAAGACAGTCATTTACGTTCCTTTTAACTAACATATTAAAAAACTGTAATTTGAAATGTTCGCAACTTAGATATCAATACAAATTCGAAAAAAGTACAAATAGAATATGAGTTGTTTATTGTGTTTTGAAAATTTACTTTTAAACACCAAAGAAAATCGGAAGTGTTGTCATGGAGAAATCAAGAACGTACAGTAGTGACATCTAGTTTCATTTCGGGAACTAATTTTTTTTTAAATTACTACCTCATACTCGTTACTTTTGATACCTTAGAATATATTAGAGCAACGAATCGAATCGTATAGCATACGAGTTCATGATCATGACGTTTATTTTTTAGTCATCATTGGTACGCGTACCGTAATATGTCGCAACATTCGCAATTTGTAGAAGTCATTTATAAGTACCTACTGAAAATTTTCTATTTACAATAAAATAATACAACATTGTAACGATAAATCAATCTTAAAAAATAGTTGAACTAAGAACGAACAAATGATATAAAACATCCGTATCTTTTGTTCCTAAAATGAAACGAAATACATTCGTAAGTAACGTTTCATTACTCGGTACTAGATGGCGCACCCGTTACTCAATACCGAATACATACCATTTGCTAAGCTTTATTTTTGAAATGGTCACCCTACCTAAATTGGTTTTTTTTTTGAGGTTATGGATCAAATCAAATATAGATTATAAAATTAATATTAGACTATGAACTGTTAATGTGTAAATTTCGACATGGTATGTATTCGGAGTAAAAAACGGCGTAAAGAGATATAATTAGAATAGCAACAGTAAGTCACTTTTTCGTTTGCAGGCGCTTTTTGGAGCCCAGTTAGTTATTACATTAATAATGGTGTCAGTGATACAAAAATTAGGCAATTATTCTTTTGCACGATGGCTGTTATGTTCGAATGGCTTGTATCGTTACTTATATCCAGATAATAACGAGCTAAGAACTTTAGCTGGCGTTCCTAAAGAGAAAATGAAAGGAAAAAAGGGCGGCAAAAATGAATCAAATGGAAAGCCCGAAACATTTCACGTACCTCGCAGTCTCGAAATACAGCTGGAGACTGCGCCGGTGACACCATTAGATGTTGTTCATTTGAGATTCTATACAGAATACGTATGGATTGTGGATTTTTCTCTATATACTGCTATTGTTTATATCATGTCAGAGGTAAGATTAGTGAAATTTTATCAACACATTATTACGATATGTATTAAACATTATATTTCTTCCTGTGTATATTATTTAATACATCATTTTCAGGTTTATACTGCAATATTTCCATTAAAGGATGAGTTCAATTTGAGCATGGTATGGTGCTTGCTGGTAGTTTTATTTTCATTGTATCCTTTTTTATATACTGAATACTGTTCTATTCAAACAGTAACAAATAAGATTATTTCTTAATACACTAATTGTTCATCATAATTTTTTAATGGTCTGATTTTAATTAATTCAATTAAGGCTTCTTTTTACTATAATTAAATTTAATGTAATTTATCTTAGAATATGAATACTTGGAAATTATCAGTCATACATAATTAATTAACTTCTTCCAATTTTAATTTGTAATGACAGTAAGACTATTATATAAATCATTAAATAATCAAATGTATATTATAAAGTGATGTGTAATTGTTATATCTTATTTAAATCTTAACTCTGATTCAGTAAAATTCTTCTATCGCTTACAAAACAGTATTTCACCAGTGATGAGTCTATTGGAGAAAGGTCAACATGCATTGTGGCATTCTGTGTGTTTTTATTGATTGCCATGATGGTGCTCATTGTAGACGAATCTAATCTGGAAGTGGGTGTGGATCCAGCTTATGATAGCTTCTATGAGAATGCTTCTAAGTTTCTGGAAAACCAGGGATTGTCTTCTGTGTAAGTTTTTAATTAATAATTTTGTATAACATATGTTTTAAACTTTTCTGGTTATTAATACTTTGATATTACCTATCTTTATAATTTACATATGGTTCTTTCTTCTGTGTTAATTATTACGAATCATTAAAAAAAGAGTTGTTTATCAACTGGATTTCTTTGTATTCCCTTGCTGAGTTAGCATTGTATGGTGTCTCACCATAGTTGACTGATTGCTTGCTTTATGGCTTTATATTTGTATCAGCCTAGACTGAGTAAATAAAAGGTATAGAATTTGTAATAAAAAAGATATCTTAGGTGGAATGCATCAAAATATGAAAGATCTATATTGTTTTTCCAAACATATTCGTTTTCTAGAAATATTAATAGCATTTATTGCAAATGACATACTAATTGTTTCCACAAATTGTAGAGGTCCAGCATCCAAGTTGATACTGAAATTATCATTAGCTGTGTGGGCTGCTGTGATTGGAACACTGTTTACGTTTCCCGGTCTTAGAATTGCTAGGATGCACTGGGATTCATTACGGTAACTAAATATTTATTTATGTTTATTTTGTTTTATGTGTTACCATACCAGTCGGCTCCATTTTTAGCCATAATATGTTAATGGCAAATTAGCAAAAGCGGGATGAGCCTCATCTCACTTTAAATCTATTTACTTTCAGTGAAAATTTAGATATAAGTAAATAATACATTGCTTATATAAGTAAGTAATAATATTCATCTTTTAACATCTGGTTTCTGAATTGGGTATTTGAAGTTAGATTTTTAATGATCAGTTGATAGCAGTTTAATAAAAGTTATTTTAAAAAAATATTCATATTTTAAGTTGAAATCTACAAAATGAAAATAATTTTCAAAATTTGCCGCGAAAACGCAACTTCTGTCATGGCGTCGCTATGACGTCACGGCACTCTGAAAATAATATCGTTCTATGTAAGATAGAATTCTCTAAGTTCTGATATGAGTATGAAAGGCATGACGTCACACGCTGTTTGCGGTCACGTGACAACAAGCATAAAATATTTGTTTATTCACAATTAGTTTTTAGCAATCGTATCGTATTCAGAAACCGGCTTATGATTCAGATTATGAAAAATGTTTTTTCTATTTTATTTCATTATGATGATCTCCATAGCTGAATGTTAAACAAATGGTTTCAAATTGACACGATTTCTGTAGTTCGGATTAGATTCCCATTCCAGTTAATATAGACAGTGATTTTATCTTGTGAATTTTGTCTTGTGATTTTTATAAACAAGGGGATTAGCTACTAAACTTTGGATATGAGCATGTTATTATCTAATATTTATTTATTCTAACTTAATTACAAACATAAGTGAGACATAAAACATTCCAAAGTTTTCAATCTCACTTTGGTTTGGCAGACAGGCCAAAACATCACTGTGGGCAGCCAGGCTCCATACTAAAGTATTCTAAACCCTTTGGTCATCTGTGACATTTTTTTAGCAGAACTTTTGTGGTCTCTAATAAGTAGTTTGAGTATGTATGAATATTATTTTTAGGTACTATGAGGACAGCAAAGTGAAAGGTCTACTATTAAACGTCAACTTTGCAATGCCTTTTATAATATCACTGTTGTGGGTCCGGCCGGTGACAAGACACTACCTCACAGTACGAGTGTTCAGCGGGATGGACGCACCGCTGTGAGTTACGACACCAATGTGACGGTTTTATTTGATTTGACTATCAATAGATGGCGCTACTATTAATTTGGTGACATTAAACATTTAAAAGGGTTGAAATTTTTTAAACCCTCTTCTAGTGAACCTCTTCATCGTAACAACTATTAGTGTGCCAAATTTCAGTTAGATTAATGAAAATTGAACAATAATAAAGTCAAATAACACCAGCAGTGCTATAATTATGTATTATTAGGAGTCAGAATTAAATGAAGTCGTGACATTCCATGTCAAAGTATGTTTGCACCGTATCTTAAATTTTATTTTTACATGACTGCTTATAAAAAGTAATGTATTGCTTTTAGAGCACATATTTATGCGATTTTTCTATTCCATCATATTATTTAAAAGATTCTACAGACATAAATGTATTGGATGTCACCAGAGATATTAAATCATCCTGCTTGAGTGACATTAGGTTTTTTTACCATTCTGTGGAACATTTGTGAACTAAGAGACCCCAACCGCAATGGAAATTTTATTTATCCAAGGCATAAAACAACTTATTCCCTTTTTAGTTCGATATTGGCGGTCCTGTTTTTATTTGATTTTTTTGTCATTAATATTATTATTGTTATTTTTCGTGATTTCTCAGCTTGAAGCCAGTTATTACAGTATTAATTTTTTTTAAACCTTTTTCATAATTATTATTATTATTATTATTGCATGTAACTGCATAGTAGTGATAGAATGAAACCTAAATTTAAATTAGGAATTTTGTGTGAAGTTACTGTTTCCTATACCAATGCATGCTGTGGTAGCTTGTAAATAAAACAAAGCAAAACACAAGTCACATAATAAGTGATATGTCAATATGTGTTTTGAAGTTGTCCTAATAATTCATTAAATTCGTTATCACTAATAAATCAATAAATTCATCATCATCATCTACCCTTTTAAGTGTAGGGGCCTAGGCCTTCTTTGTAGATGGTTAAGGAGGAAGGGCCATGACCCTCCACACTGGCCCGATGCGGATTGGAGCGTATTAATGACTATGAAATTCCGTTTTCGTAGAAATAGAAATAGGCTAGCAGTCTGTCAGGATAACTCGTACAAGTAGTACAATGAATTATGAGTAGGATTTTCACTATAATATTTAATTTACATAAAACTATCTATTATTATTTCATTTAGTAAACCTGTATGTAGATATTTATTGTTAATCCAAATTTCAAAAGTAAAAAGACAGGAATCGTGCTATTAGGACCTTTCGCCACAGGTATCTATCCAGTACTGTAAGTATTTATATCTCATCAACAGAAATTATTGTTTTTATTTACAGATAGCCTCAGTTTTCTACTATCTATGCGTAGTAGCTCTTCAGTACATCTGTCCGTTGGTGATGGGTGTATATCTCGCACTCATGTATAAAACCCTGGGCGGTTACTCCTGGACTTCATTGTTTTACGACGTGGAAGTTAACAATGCTACAGTACCGGCATCGTCTGCTGTCCTCGACGAAGGCATTGAGCAGTATCAGTTGGCGTGGGAGAATCTCAAAATGGTGAGAACAGGAGACTCATATACATTATTAATTTGAAATTGGAAGAATATGTGTGTACGTACTGTTAAACTAAAAAATGTCGGATACCACGGACGTCACTATTTATCGGTTGTATTAAGCCCGTCACACACGTAGCTATAATATATATTAATATGACGTGCTATAATATATATTATAGTAAGCTATCACACACGGAGACGATGCTATAATATATATTTTGCCCTCATTCATTGATGGTTGGCCTAGCGTTTATAGCCTACCATAATATGCAATAATATATATTAACTAACTAACCCCTAACTATCACTTACCTCTTAATAAAAACCATATAATTGGGTTATAATGCACTAATAACTGTAATGGCGACAGCATGTCTTTTTTTTACGTGCTGTCAAGACGAACCATAGATTAAAAAATACTGCGTAAACTGACCACTGCACGACCATAAATATTGATTGTCAACTGAACGTTTGACAGCTAAGAACAATTTGTATGGGAACATCAAATAGTCGTTTTTAGTATTATACTCACAATTTTGTCATATTTTCTCATCGTTTAAACCTTCCCAGGACTTCCACGAATATTTCAAGACTAAAATTTGTCAAATCGGTTTAGCCGTTCTCGAGTTTTAGCGAGACTAACGAACGGAAATTCATTTTTATTTATATATAGATATGCGTTAATATATTCGTTGGTGAAGTCATAGAAATATATATTATAGCTGTGTGTGCGGTCATTTGAATATTTGTATAGAAAACATATCGTAATATGCCTTGATATAATTCATATGAATATATATTATAGCTACGTGTGTGACGGGCTTTAAGGGAATCACTATCTGTCAGTGGCTGCCTCTGTCACTTTTGAAATTGACATTGACGTATGACGAGATCGGCGGTTAAAAAGGAATCAGTTTTTCAAATAAAAAGTTACCAGATAAAGTTGCACAACTTCAACAGTACATCAGGTTACTACAAACTGCCAATTTACTGCTATTAATTTTGAACTTAACAATAAATAGATTAATATCAATATTGGTTATAGTAATTTCTTGATAGTATCTCTAAGATTATAGATTAAATGGCGATTTTTTTTTTCCAAATAGTTCAATAATGTTTGTATATATGAAACTTTCTATTGTTTCTCCTAAAATAATTTGTTAGTTTGTTATAATTTTAGGTTTTTTTTGTATGAATACCTCGTTTGATAAAATATGTTATCTGTCCAACCCAGGTGTTTACTGAAGAAGTGTATCGCGGCGTGCTGGGGTTCGCGACCTGGTGGTGTTACTTCGCCTGGTTCTTGACCACCGCGCTGGGCGCCGGTTACCAGACTTACTTCAGGATATCGTGATCATAACATAATAGCTTTAGCTTAGTTCTTCATAGTCGTTTTTATATAGCTCTGGGAATATTTTGACTGGTGTAATGTCGTTGGCAATTATAAAATATGACAAAGATTTTATGCATTCTACTGCACGCGTAACATGGCATACTCGAGAGACTCGAGAATAGCTCTACAATGAAATATGTTTCTCGAGTCTCTCGAGTTCGTCTTGCGTCACGGGCTGGTATGTGAGTTGAAAAATTGACAATGAGTATTACCAATTTATTTATTATTTTACTTAGTAGTCATAGAAAAATCTTTTTTATAAAATGATATGGGTCAAGTGCTGGACACATATTTTTTTAATTATTTTTCAAAATCAAAAATAATATTTATACTAATTATTAATTTGATGGTTAATGAAGTGATAATTGTATGAAATAAAGAATCTTTGCAAATTTTTTTCTACAGAGAAGAGTTTGATTTCATATACCCAGAGCTTTAAACGATTTATAAAAATATATGTATCTAGTCAGCTTTGTCAAACTATTTTCAAAATATCTATAAAATATTGTTTGGATCGTCTATATGATGATGTTTTTTATACTTTAAATAAATATTAAGTTACCCTTGTAGGCGCTAACGTGCATATGTAATTAATTACACATACATAGCTTTTGTTTAATATTAATTTATATTTTACATATATAATTTTGCGTCTTTTTTTTACTTTATTTTTTATAAAGTGAAGCGTTCCATTACTTCTCACGACTTCTACTATAGCACGGTTGGTGAACAGAAAAATTTTTGTACTATGACCCGGTATTACATTTATCTCTTTCGCCCTTACGCAAACATATTGCTATCACACTTGCACAGGTGCATCTTGTCAATTTTGGTATCGTTCTACGTCTACTTTCGTTATAGGCTTGTGTCCTACAAGTGAAAACACAGATTTCTGTTATGTTTCATCATCACCAGCTCTTATATGTCCCCACTGTAGGGGCTTAGGCCTTCCTTATGGATGGTAAAGAAGCATGGGCCATGACCCTCCACGCTGGCCCAATGCGGATTGGCGGGTATAAACGACTATAAATGCAGCCGGGACCAACGGCTTAATGTGCCTTCCGAAGGACGGAGTTGCTCGAGATAATAATTTTTTGGTCACCCATCCCATGACCGACCCTTGCGAAAGTTGCTTAACGACAGCGATCGCGGGGCGCAGGGCTTATTCACTACGCAACCGAGCTAGTAATGTGTTTGGAAACTGAACCATTTAAACTTATAAAATTTTATGGCACTGATTTGGAAAATATTAAAAAAGTAGAGTTTAATTATGTTGTTAAAAAACATTGGCATTCAATTAGTTTCATAAAACGCAACAATCTAATCGGCGACCCTGCTATAAAGGAAACTGTGGGAAGTGCATTTCAATTTTTTTGTAAATCATTACTAAAGTGTGGTTTTTCTGAACAAAAATAGTAATCTTAATTCATGTTTACGTAAATATTATTATATATTGCAAATTGAACGTCACTCTACTATATGTGCCATCTAGGAATTAAGTATGGGAAACAGTATAGGAAACTTTTGTATTCAGAAGTTACTGAAATTTCACGCTAATAAAACTTATTATATTTAATATTGACGTCGATTAACCAAACTGCTTATAAAGATTATAGGTATAGTACACGTACATAAATAATTTGTCTTCTGATGACGCAATGTGAAGTAATTTATTTCTAGTTTAATAATTAAGCAATAATTGGCATTAGTTTAGACAAAACGATGTACGAATAAAAAAAAAAAGAAAGAAATTTGTAAGTAATTTGAGTTTCTATATCAGACCTACAATAATATATATGTTTTGTAAATATTTTGTCATTGCAAAGTTCGATAAAGTATGCAGTGTAGGTACAGTCGAACACAACTAATATGACTCAACGACGTACAGTCAACAGCAAGCCAGGTTATACAGATCTGTCAAATTTCCATTTAGTACTTTAATGCATTGAGTGTAGAGTGGGAAATCCAGCGTGATATATTCTGGTAATCTGACTTACTCCTGCGTTTATATTCGCAGAAGGTTACATTTAAAGCTGTGCGTTGTATTTTACAAGCAATGGTTATGAAAATAAGACTGATTATACATTTTAATCATATGTTTTTATTATTATTGTGATATTAGTTGTGTTATACTGTACTAATTTTGATGTAAAACATTGATCCGGAAATTTGGATTTGATATTTTTTTTCACAGTTTATTTGCATAAATGTAAATGTCATGTCAGAAAAAAAGGTTTGTCTTGTGTGTTTTATTATTTTGACTCATTTTTTATAGTTTTTTTAATAGGTTGACCAACAAAAGCCATTATTTTAAAGGTATGTGAGAGATAAAGAAATATTTTTATTAAGCCACAAACTTGAAATACACTATATAGTAATAGGAACTTGACAGAAAATAATAAAACAACAATGAAAATAATAAAAAATGATAGGATTTATTTTCGGGCGCAACAAAAATTGGCTACCTTTTTGTTTCTTGTTTGGTCCAGAGGCGCGTTAGCCTAAATCTCTAGCCACGACATCTGTCAACTTATTGTTTATTCACCAAAAATACATCTCGAAGCAGTAGTATTGTGAATCGAAATATCACCATAAATATCCTACGGCTAAAAAGTTTGTCCGTCGCACCACTGGCTATTTTCAAATGGCTCCTTGCCTTTTTCTCGGCAGGTAGAACTTGCTTCTACAAAAAGTTATTGTTTCTAAGAATATGGTGGAACAATACCAAAACATAAAAGAGCAATCACATTATCGACAGATTTTTGTAAGAACTGGTGCTAACTGAGAAAGGGCAGAAAAGCATAGGTAATGGTCAAATTCTCGAAAAAGTCTTATACCTACTACGCCACTACTAAAGCCACATTATGTAGGTATAAAAAAAGTCGGCCGTAAAAACGTTTCTTGGGAATTTTGTATTATTATAAGCTTTATTATCTACCCTGCAAGGGAGCCTGTGTAAAGATAAAGAATGTGTATGTATACGTACGATGTTATGTATTAAGTTTTTTTATATGAATTTGTTTAGGTTTTGTTTAAGACTGTTTTCCCTACATAACTAACCCAATTGTAAATTCGACATGTTTTTTTTATATTCACGTTGAGTTTATGTATAAGCGGACAAAAGTGATGAAAAAGAAATCTGTGTGCTATATTGTTTTTATACCTGAGGTTTGAGGTATTTACACTTATGGGACTGTTTTGAAAATAAAGGTTTTTAATATTACATGTACTTTAAATTACTTCACCCGATTTACCTCAGATGTTGCCAAGGGCGGATAGAGCATCAACTAGCCATATGTTACATCTTAGCGATGTGCGGCGACGCATACGCACGGGCGCGGTCATATATTTAGTAACTATTTTAAATGAACGTAAATGAAGTATAACTATTTTTTTTATTAGTAGGTACGCAATGCACGCATATCCATAAAAAACATTATCACCCTGTAGTGAGGGATACCAGAAAGCCAACATCATTTAGAGTTCTGACTTCATTTTATAATAAATCTATGATTATCATCAGCCCTTTTACGCCCTCACTGCAAGGGGGCTCAGGCCTTCCTTCAGGATAGTTAAGGAGAATGGGCCATGCCCTGACCTTCCACGCTGGCCTAATGCGGGTTATAACAACTCAAATGCAGTCGGGACCAACGGGCTTAACGTGCCTTCCGAAGCACGGAGTAGCTGGAGATAATTTTTTGGTCACCATCCCGTGACCGACCCTTACGAAAGTTGCTTAATAACAACGATCGCGGGCCGCGACGTTTATCCACTACGCTACTGAGCGTCTCAGTATGTCTCACTCAAGTAATGTCGATAAATCTTTAATTAGGTGAATATCGTTTTTAGGGTTCCATCTTTTTTTTTGTTGCGAAATTATCGAAGTTATCATATATCGATACTCTCAGTTCGATTTTAACTTCGATGTAAACTTTCGTTTGTTTGGACAAGGACAAACGATGGTTTTTCATCAAGCACTACTTTACGCAATGAGGGTATAAGTACTCAATATAAGGGCCGAACGTCAGATTACCACAATGTGTGTTTCTGTAATGGATTTTGACCTGTACTATACTGTAAATATATTATATAGGTTTAAAAATGAGTGGTAAAATTTAACAGATTCGTATAGTCTGACGTGCAGTTGATTGTATTTTTGTAGATCGTAACAGCACCCTAACGGAGTCGCATCACTACGCCAGTATGAATTTTTGGCACGCTTGGTATAAAAAGCCGTTCACACGGCAGGATCATGTTAGACCAACTCCGACATGACCTTCGACGCTTGGTCGAAGAGTACTATATCGGGATGTTGCCACATAAAATGAATAACGCACAATTATGGAATTTTGAGTATCATAAAAGGATAAAAATTGATTATATGTGTTTGTATTTAAAACATTTACATCACAATATTTCCAACATTTATACAACAAACAAAAATAGAAATTTTAATATTATTTTTGAATTAAAAGTGCCGATTAATCACGTTTGGGCCTGTAGTATCAGTAAAAAAACATTTTTCTATTAAATTCTCATTGCGTCCCATTTATCTATGTCATAATATATATATAACCTATAACCCATTTTTCTATATTAATTTAAAATTATAATATATAAGAAAAGTATCCAATTTTGAAACTTAATAACTCGTCTAGTGATGTGATAAATATTAAAATGTAGCTTATGTTTTTCTTATTCATATCAGGAAAATAAGTAGGAATCAAAATTTCGAGGCTTATAACGATTTTTAAATAGTACTATGATAACTATCCGAATGCGACTCAGACCCTTAAATTCCGGTTTTCTACACTACCTTAAATACATTCTTTCCTCATATATAATACTTAATAACATTTAGATTTATGTGCATTAGAAGAAGTAGCTTCACAATCATCTCGAGTTTTGACAGCTGCTATAACCTCAAAACATTATGTACAAATAATGAATCTCCCTGGCTTCAATATGAAAAGATGCTAAGATTCTATTTTAAGCAAAAACCAATTTAAATTATCACTAATGGTGGGCAAACGCGACCTTTATTAAAAAAAACACGTGAAAGGTAAATCAATGTAGGGAAAGTGGACATGATTCTTTAATAAAGACATAAAATATTTTTCGATTTTTTGGTTTCTCCAGTATGGCAGCACTGCTGGTTAGAATTAGCTCCGGCTGAGGTCATCTTGGTCGGAACGCTTGGTTGGGAAGCAATGGGCGTACACACGCCTCGATGCTCTGACCAAGGTTACGCACGAACTGACTAAGGCAAAGACTAAGGTCAACTGGTCGAAGCTGAGACCTCCTACCGTGTGGACGGCTTTAAACGTCAATAATATGATAGATTCAATGAAAATTAATTATGAATAGCTATTAATAGATTCTTTTAATAAAACTAATTTATTTGTCATCACATTCGCTGTGACAAATAGCATTGCGTTTGAGTTTTTTTGAATTAACCGCATTTTCCTGTTGTTATTAATTCATTTCCTGACGAAAACGAAATAATACTGCAAGATATTTTCATAGATATTATTCTGAAGCAATAATGTTCATTGTCATTATTAAATACATTCTATCCCTATTTTAATCATACGCATAAGTATTCTTTTGCATAGTGTGCGGAGTTTCAAATAGTGATCTAGTTCTAACAGTCAAATAGATATCAAATAATCGATTATAATAAATTCACAATATTATTTAAACAAGTGATACATCACTATTGTCATTTCTGACAAGTAAGTACAATGAGTAAGAAACTGTAGCCAATCACAAGAAAGAACGATAAGCTATGAAGACTTTCTATTGGTTAGAATTGGGGAACTTTCCAGAATGTACGGGTGACGTTCATAACGCGGCAGCTTGCCATATAAAGGCCCATGCGTCAACGACGCCATTTTATTTCTAGCAAAATAACCGTCAATCGCGCACGTTTTCCGAGTGTTCATCTATTATAAGTCTACAAGTTCTAGTTAAATTTATACAGTAAGTACACCCACATATTCTTTTTATTAAGTTTAATGTATCCATTAATTTAAAAATCATCAATTCTGGATAATAACTGTACCCCGATAACATTTAATGTGCATATGATTGTCTGTCTTATACTTTTCTACATTTTCTCTGCTACCTATCACGATTATAATAAATAATTGATTTATGATTCTCTAATTGATTTATGATCGAAACTAAGGAATTTGTGATTTTAATAATGTATAGCGTTCTCACGTGGTAACAAGTATTTAGGGCATCGGCCTACGGTGCCCGCAAACAAAGGGTTCACGAGGTCAATGTAATGAGTAGGTACTCTATCTGATTATGTCCAGTTTCATGCCTAACTAAGATTTTGTGTTATTTTGTATTATCTACACTTATGATACTTGTAATAATTGGTCGTACTCATGTGGTTATGGAAGTGCCGCATTCCAGAACCTTCGCGATCGATTTTTCCCATCATGACCGCGCATCTTTTGTTACCTCGACAACGTGGAAAGGCTTGTTATTGTTACCAAGTTGAAATAAACTTGGGATAGTTTGGTTTAAAATAAACAGGTGTGCACTTCGGTATCGTCGTCGATGATTCATGGAGTAAATCATCATTCCGCAAAATGGCGGAACTAACCTAACTTTGATTGGTATCGCTTTCGTGAATTATTAGTGCTGTTGATTAATCATATATAGGTATAAATTTTTTTTCTGTTCTTGTCTTCCTTTTTTTTTAATAAAATTTGTTGTTTTTAATCAGATGGCGAAAGCACCTGCGGTTGGTATTGATTTGGGCACCACATACTCGTGTGTTGGTGTGTTCCAGCATGGAAAGGTGGAGATCATCGCTAATGATCAAGGCAACAGGACCACCCCGTCGTATGTGGCGTTCACAGACACCGAGCGTCTCATCGGCGATGCTGCCAAGAACCAGGTGGCGATGAATCCCAACAACACCATCTTCGGTTAGTATTTTTTCTTTCTGTGAATATTTTTTTAGTACCAAGTATCTAGTTCAATCCTTTTCTCAAAATCTTGATTGTTTAAATGAGGACAGTAGTACACGTTAAATGGTTAAGCATAATAACCTAGTTTTCCGCCTTATAAATTAAACAGATTTGGAAGTCTTGTTAATAGAGCATTTTTATTGAATTTTCTGAAATCTTATAGCAACATTTGTTATATAAGTGGCCTGACAATATGATGTAATCTTGAATCTATACTCTGAATTATTCATTTTTTAATTAATAGGTTGATTTTATGATGATAACCAATATACTAGACTAGAGTCTCTGAAAATATTGAGTGATAAAAATAATCTGAGAGTCATTTATTAGTGTTTAAATGGTGTTCTCCTTATACAAAAAGTAAATATAAATATATTTTATTTTAGATGCCAAACGTCTTATCGGGCGCAAGTTCGAGGATGCTACAGTCCAAGCCGACATGAAGCACTGGCCCTTCGAGGTTGTGAGTGATGGAGGCAAACCAAAGATTAAAGTATCATACAAAGGTGAAGATAAAACTTTCTTCCCTGAGGAAGTGAGCTCAATGGTGCTCACAAAGATGAAGGAAACAGCCGAGGCCTACCTCGGTAAAACTGTGCAGAATGCAGTAATTACGGTTCCGGCATACTTTAATGACTCCCAAAGACAGGCTACAAAAGATGCGGGTACCATCTCTGGCCTTAATGTTTTACGAATCATCAACGAACCTACTGCTGCTGCGATTGCATACGGTCTCGACAAGAAGGGAGGTGGAGAACGAAACGTCCTCATTTTCGATCTCGGCGGTGGTACCTTCGATGTATCCATCTTGACTATCGAGGATGGTATCTTTGAAGTAAAATCTACTGCCGGCGACACGCACTTGGGTGGAGAGGACTTCGATAACCGAATGGTCAACCATTTCGTGCAAGAGTTTAAGAGGAAGTACAAGAAAGATCTCACCACCAACAAAAGGGCGCTACGACGACTCCGAACAGCTTGTGAGAGAGCTAAGAGGACACTCTCATCGTCTACCCAGGCCAGTATCGAAATTGACTCTTTGTACGAGGGTATTGACTTCTATACTTCAATCACGAGGGCGCGTTTTGAAGAACTGAACGCCGATCTCTTCAGATCTACCATGGAGCCTGTAGAGAAGTCCCTTAGGGATGCTAAGATGGACAAGGCTCAAATCCACGACATCGTCCTCGTCGGCGGATCTACTCGTATCCCCAAAGTTCAGAAGTTGTTGCAAGATTTCTTTAACGGCAAAGAGTTGAACAAATCCATCAATCCTGATGAGGCCGTCGCGTACGGCGCCGCCGTCCAGGCCGCCATCCTGCACGGAGACAAGTCTGAAGAAGTACAGGACTTGTTGCTGCTCGACGTCACTCCCCTATCGCTCGGTATCGAGACCGCCGGCGGAGTCATGACCACCCTCATTAAGCGCAACACCACCATTCCCACCAAGCAAACGCAGACCTTCACCACCTACTCTGATAACCAGCCCGGTGTACTCATCCAAGTTTTCGAGGGTGAGCGTGCCATGACCAAGGACAACAACCTTCTTGGAAAGTTCGAGCTTACTGGAATCCCCCCTGCACCCCGTGGCGTTCCCCAAATCGAGGTGACATTCGACATCGACGCTAATGGCATTCTCAACGTGTCTGCCGTCGAGAAGTCTACCAACAAGGAGAATAAGATCACAATCACCAATGATAAGGGTCGTCTTTCTAAAGAGGAAATCGAGCGCATGGTCAACGAGGCTGAGAAGTACAGAAATGAAGACGAAAAGCAAAAAGAGACCATCGGCGCCAAAAACGCTCTGGAGTCTTACTGCTTCAACATGAAGTCTACCATGGAGGATGCTAATCTTAAAGATAAGATCTCTGAGTCAGATAAGCAGACAATTCTCGATAAGTGCAATGACACCATTAAATGGTTGGACTCTAATCAACTGGCTGACAAGGAAGAGTACGAGCACAAGCAAAAGGAATTGGAGGGCATTTGTAATCCGATCATCACCAAGTTATACCAGGGCGCTGGTGGAGCCCCAGGGGGCATGCCGGGCGGTATGCCTGGTTTCCCCGGCGGAGCTCCCCCGGGCGCTGGAGGTGCCGCCCCCGGTGGCGGTGCTGGCCCCACCATCGAGGAGGTCGATTAAACACATTCCACTGTATACCGAATATTGCGGGGTCTCTAGTCGCGTAGCATGCTTCGTTGGCATCGAGATGTTCGTAAAATAAAATAAATAAAAATACATATGTATAATAATTTCTGTATTTAATTTATTTACTTTGCCACGTCTCATCGAGATGTCAACTTTAGGAGTATTGTTTTGGGCAAACTGCCTAGTTACAAACGTCTACCCAGGGAGCTTTTTTGCGGTATAAAAAGTAGCCTATATGTTAATCCAGACCAACAATTATTTTTATACCAAATTTCATCTAAACCAGTTCAGTAGTTTTTGCGTGAAGAAGTAAAAAATATATAAACATGCACCTTATATAAGCGACAATATAATTACCTCGTAATATTATCTGATGTAGAAGGCTACATTAACGGGTCAGTTGCACAAACTTCCATAAGATGTAATGAAGTCATTAAGCTCTAATTAATGTCAAATTTGTATGAATAAACTAGCTTTAAACTCTACGAACTCTATGAAAGTTTTAATAGACGTTTATGCAACTGGCTGTAAATCTAGTGGTTAATGATGTCCTGAAAATATCACGACCAGTATAATATTGTATATTTAATACGACTCGGGTGAAAATTATGATAAAGTCTAGGTTTTAAACTCCTAAACAGCTGTGACAGCAGTTATCTAAATCCTATCCTATCCTGTTATTATTATAAATGTGAAATTTTGTTTGGATTTTTGGATATTTATCCGTCAATCACGCCGAAACAACTAAACGGATTTTAATGAAATTTGGTATACAGATAGGATATTAGCCGACTTAGCTAATCGGATACTTTCTATCCCACTAAATGGTTCTCTAGGGGCCACGCGGGCGATGGCGGATGCGCAAAGAACTTCCGAAAATTCCGAAAGAAGAAAATTCCGCTGGCGGAAAGCTAGTATACAATATTCCTGGAGACTGCTAAGTATTAATTTGACAAGTGTTACCTATCTTTATTGTACAGAACAAAGGATTACTATAATTATTTTTTTTTAGATCGACACAAATTGTCGATAAAAACTATTTAACATCTCCGTACCTATTTTAGCAGAAAAAAGACACAAAAATATTTTCTCTTAGAATAATAATTTAAACCAAAATACAATTTTATATTAAACATGGGTACAAATACAAATGAATTTATCAATGGTTAGTCTACCTACAGTAGGTACTCTACAATGATACTATCTCGTAGAGATCCCTGATTAGTAAGGCCTGGCCGAGTAGCATTGTCGCAACATGCCTTATTTTATTTAGTACATACTACATCTTATCTTTTATTATTTATACACAAGATCAAAACCTTATGCATTAACGTCACACCGGGCTGCCTTATTTGTAGGGAAACGATTAGAAAATTCATTTTAAAATAATTACTAAACCTAATAAAAGTGGAGATTTTATATAGAATTTATATTAAAATTTATGTATGCATAGTTTTTAACTCAGATTTCGATGAATTATTCGCCCATTTTTCAATATCGAATGCAAAATAAGAAAACAAAAATAGTCCACTATAATCCATTCATATATCCACAAAAGTCCATTGTGAATAATTATCACAAAATTTTAAATATATTTCAGTTATTATAACAGGCTGATAAACTAATAATTCAACACAGAAAGGACGTTTTAATTTGGCTAGCTACGTAGCAACACGACTTTATCTCAAAATAAATTTACAAATCTATTTCAGATTGTGTAGCCCGTTTATTTCGGTCGCAGTTGGCAAGATTATAAGTGAGGTAGAAATGAATATTAATAATACGGAAATAACATTTGCAGAGAAATAAAAACCACGAGATTGTAATAGTAATTCCTCACTTGAGTGTAGTTGTTCGTACCTCGAGTCGCTCGCTCTCGTTCCGACTCAGTAGGTGTACACATGGCAGATATTTGTTGAACATTTTTAACACATTGTTACTTCTAATTTACATAAAACCATAAATAATATACTACCCTTACAGTCAAAAAAGTATAATAATTCAGCTTAATCAATTCTCTAACTGACCGATGTAATCTTCACGTAAAATAAAATTGTAATTGTAAATAAGGTGGTGAAAACATGTTCTTGCCTGCCTGGCAAAGGCCTTCGTTATAAAAAGCACACACCTTCGTTATTATATATAGAAGAAAAGAAAAGGAAAACTGGCCATAATCTGCTACGTGGGCCCAGTTGTTTAGGAAAGTTTGAGTTTATCCTGTTCAAACAGACAGACAAACAGATCAACAGAAGCTAGCGATTTTGTTGATATAAGACAATTGGAATATATTTTTTGTTTGTTGACATTTGGCTTGTATTTACTCAAAAGTAATACCTATTAAAATAATTTAAAAATCAAATAGCTAGTGTTGTCTGATATTAAGTAAAACAGTAACGATTAAAATATGCCTGAGTGACTGGCTTGCTAAATAATAAAAACAAAGTGATAAGTCGATACAGATGAAGCTTTGATTTAATATTTTAACGGGATTTATTCATTGCTTATAATTTAAAGGAGACCTTCCAATCTATGAGTCTTTTGGAATATTATGTTTTGAGTTAATTATTCAGCTTAAAATAATTTATATCTAATGGGCATAACAAAATGTTACATAGTTATAAAATAAAAAGTGATTGTTCTTATACATACGATAGTTTACTTTCATAAAATATTTCAACCAGTTTTTGGATTGTACACATATTTAGAATTTTTCAATAATATCATACCTATTTTAATAATTTTAGGTATTGGAACTTCCATCGGTTCACTTAATCTTAGGTTGGAATACGACGTCAAGCAATTATCATAAATAATTCCACAATTTTTCATTTTCCTAACCGATGACTAAGCAGGACAAAATATGAATTCTGTATTAATATTCTATAAACAAGTATATTGTTACCGCTTTTTATCTAGAAATAAGTATATTATATACACATGTAAATATAAACAGATTTATGAAGCTGCAATGACAACTCGAATGTTTATCAGACTGCTTATTTTAACAATTTAATGAATGTACCTCAGTGATGTACCTATAAATATATCTATTTACAACTGTAACCAATATTGTACGTATAGCTTTATATATGCCTAGAACTCTCTTTAAGAAGAAAATCATGAAAATATCGTTATACAATAATAACAGAGCTTACTTATATCGCTTTTTATTTACGTAATTTAATTTTCAGAAGGTCCATTTAATTTTTTTTTCTAATTGCAGTATATGGTACTTATTTTAAATAAAGTTATGCATCGTTTTAACATCTTTTTTAAATAAAACACCTAATTAACTACTGCAAAATTTAGGCTTCTTTTGAATTTCAAAAACAGTTTTGATTCAAATAATATTTTTTTGTTTATTGCACACAAAATGTAGTTTATGATATTGCCGTTGATGCACAGTAAATAAAATTTAAAATAAATATTTTAACTTTATGAAAATGTCTAAAAGTAGTCTAAAACATTGTTTAGATGATTTGATGATTAATGATGATTGTTTACGAGCCTATCTACTAAAGCAACATCCACGCAAGACTTAAAAATAGGAACTCAATCAAAAACTATTTTCATACAATTTGTATTATGCAATTTCCACGACAGCAGCATTTTCGCGAAAAAGTAGATAGATGACTTTGCATACGAATTGCGCTTGATGACGAGGTAGTTATCATAGATATAATATAATGAATCTTTCGATCGGCAGTGGTGTAAAAAATTATTATTTAAAAAAATAATACGTATATGTATCGAAATTAAATGTTATCATACCTACCTTGTAAACAATACTGAAATGAATAATGAGACAAAAATTTTATAAATAGGTATAATTTTAGTCTGAATCGGTATTGTGCGACAGCGATTGCATATCGATATTTGTGGCCTTGAAAATCGTATCAGTATTTTAGCGAAAGTACAGTGAACAGCACGTCAGGTCATACAAAACTTTAATAACATTGAAGAAAGGCAATAGCTCCATATATATCGCTATTGCAATATTAGGTTAGGTTCGAAATATTAGGTTGACATGTCCTCAACTATAATTAATTCCAATACAGATAAGAACTCCTTACTAAAAGAAAAGTAAAATGACATAAGTGACTTTGTAAGTTGTTAATTTACGCGGCGGCTATAATATTTATGTAGCCCGCCCCGCTCAGTCTTGCAGCTACGCTGTTTCGCTGTGCGGATCGATTTCATAAATATTTCATAAGGGGCTGATTACATTAGCCCTGTCCCGCGTGTCGTGGAAACGTATGACCCCGCGTCTGGCGCATCGGTGTGGGGCAGAGGTCTAAATATAACACCTTATTTATTTATTGACGTATGTGTAAAGTATAATTTTGTAACAATAATTTACAGTTCATGTGACTCAAGGGCGTAATGATTTCAGATTAGCATGTAGATTAATAACTATGTATCCAATTAATTTTATATTTAATGTGCGATGTAATTACCTATTTAAACTTGCTCTATTAAATTCCATAGCCATTTTATTATACTGTTCTAAAAATTAATTATTTGGTAGATATCAGTTTTGGAGTTTACACTAGGGGTCTTCTGTTGATGTTGATAGTTTACACGATTAACCATAATAACACTTTTTACGTTACACTTGAATAAGACACTGATATTTAGCATTCTGAGTACTTCGATGATCACACTTTACTATGCGATGCACTAAAATGTTTCTAAAACTATATTTTTTTAACATTAACCTTCTTGGGTTTCTTCATTCTTCATTCCTTTTTAAATTTAGTCGGTGTAAGGCAAATGAGTTCTAATCGTACAGCCTCATTGGATAAAGTCTACATCCACGCGATGGCAGGGGAGCCGTCCGAGGAGAGAGAGTCTCTCGAGCGACGCAGAGGCTTGGAGTAGGCCTGCTGTCAGTAAAGAGATGTACTAGAGCAGGGCCCGTCCACGCCGTGCAGCTGCTGCTCCGGATTTGTTACTAACTGGAGTGAACAAAAGGATTAAGCGTTGTTGCTGGTGGTGGCCATTAATATGTATTGCAATGAATATGTGGTTTTACCATAAGTTTAGAGACTTGACCTACAAGTGAAAATACAGGTTTCTGTTATACGTTCGGAAAATATGAACCATTTTACTTTATCAATATAAAATGAATTTTATAGCACAAATTTGGTAAATTACGCTTTGAGAACTTCATAAAAGTTGGGAACATATACAACAATAATTGGCTAAAATATATATGGCATTAAATTAGTTACATAACATTTTATTATAACAGCTATGAGCATAAACGCACAAATAACAAAGATATTACAAAGATTGCACAGACGCCCATATGATTTTCGCTACCATAGCGAAATACCATAGTAAGTGCCTTGAATTTGTAAGGAGCGTTTACGGCCCACTAGCAGCAGTTCCACAAATATATTACCGTATCTTCGAAACTATTAATCGCAGATATGCTGTTATTTCTAAATTATTTCTCAGATATGGACTATTTATCTGTAAAATAAAAAAGTTCTCAACTAGCCGTCTCTCAAGAAAATCAAAAATGTAATTTGCCCTAGTTTAATCATACCAGTTAATTCTGCAGTTAAAGCACGTTCCTGTGAACTACAAAACACTATTTTCGTTACTAATATTAATTAGGTTTTAACAAAGGACAATTTGTTGGATAATGAACATAAACTATACTGCCCTTACTAAGTAGACAACTGTTTAGTACAGGGTTTTACACATGTTAACTATAGGTTAGGTTATCAGAATTTGGAGTTCTGGGAACAAATGACAAGGTATACATTGCAATTGGTCTAAAGAGTACACCTAAATGGTAAGATAGTGAAAACCGAATAAACACAAACAGTATCGATATTTGAATCTCGACTGCTAGCCTAAAATCGTTTGAGTATTTTTAAAGGTTTCAAGATTTCACTGTGAAAGTTACTACTGCGAAAATTGCTGGTTAAGATAACCTAACAGATCCATGTCCATACTTTTTTTTAAACCCACCCTAAAGGTAATTAATCTCTATAAAATCAGATAGACTCTTCAAATTTCTTTAGTAAAGAAATCCTTCAAAGTTATTATAAGTTTGTGTGTATATTCGTGTAATCTATTCTGCTTTCACAGGTCTATTGTCTACAGGATAGGAGGATGACCATACTTCTCTAATTTCACATACAGACGGCAGCAGTCCGTCGGTCGAATTGTTGGGAGAGCGAGGTGAGGGAGTGGGTGCGTGCTTCGGAATTTCTCGACCGGCCGCCATCTTGTCATGCAGTTGGGCCAACCGCATGCTCATCTGCCGTCTCTCTTTCTGCTCCCTTTCTCGCTCCCACCTCTTCGCACTGTAGCTCCTAATCGAAGAAGAACTGCTCTGCACCGAACTTAAACTTGGACGTCTCGAACCTGCAATTTATTGAAAGGCTTCTATGTAAATTTTGACAGTTAATAAAGGGAGTCAATAGTGCTGAGCAGCTGCTGTGGTTATATGGGTGTGAAAAGCAGCGTTTGAGTTTGGAACTTAATTCCTCATGAAGAAATTGCAATAGCTATTCGTTTATGCTCCTGAGTGTTCCAGTAAATTGTGATACACTGAAAATTTTTATTACTGATTGTAATGTTGTCGTACTTATGGATTGATTACGAAAATTCGAATTCTCTGTGCTTCTATTCCGTGAGTTAAGGTAGAAAATAATACTCCCATGACTATGGAAAACAATGAAAAGTATAATTATTAAAATTGTTATGGGATCAAACTTCAGATGTTATTTAATTTTTTACAACTAATTTTATTATATTTTTGGTTGAACTGACTTTAATGCTGATATTCAATAAGAGTAAAAAACTTAACAGAATGTTCATAATCTGGTAATAATAAGAGATAAAATTAACAAACAGAAAGTGGTAGTAAAACAGGACAAATTATTTGAAACATATGTTACTGGTTCTTATGTTCTGTTGCTATTGAAAAGGCTGGTGATAATGATTCAAATTAGCAAACAAATATGTTTGGTATAGCCCATGTTGCTATACTCGCATGCTAGCCAACGCTACGTGAACAAGTAGACGGAAAGCGTGAAGCATACACGTGCTGTCATTGCTGAAACTGAAGCTTTGGCCTGCTGTTTCACATATCATGAAGAATTTCTTCAATTAGTTCAATCAATTCAATTTTCAAGTTTTCTTTAGTTATGATTGTGTTTTTAGTAAATCGAGTGAGTGGATTTAATAACATATTTAAACATTATTGAATGCATTATTTTCATAAGCAGTGATTTTCTTAAAAGCTAAGCATTGTTGAAGTGTAGTTGTGTACATGTTGTATTATATTCCCAATTTCAGTTGATGAAATTGTGATACTCTCAATAAAATTTGCTACTGATAAATATGAAAATAAAGATACTTCTCTTTTCTTTGCCACTTTGTATTGTGTTTACAATGAAGATAACGACCATGGAAACTTCAGCTTCGGTAACGTAATAAAGCTGTGTGATAGAGAGAAGGAAATACAAGGACCATGGCCATCTTGCTCGCGCCCGCGTTTACGTACGACTGACACCACACCGATAGCAGCATCGGGAAGTCCCGACAGTTTGACCAATCACACAGTGCCAATGCCCCGAAGCTTTACACATCAAGCATACTTACAAAAATTTTGGTACACCATACTACAGCGATGTATCCCAAATATGCTGTTTTGATCGTTCTAACGGGTTTCAAATGTAATAAAAACACATCGTCCTTGATTGGAAAGATAAATTAGAAACAGTTTTCGATAAATTATTACTAAGTAATATACTGTTATACAAATTGACATGTCAACAGTCTACTAAAAGGAATAATCAGAACGATTAACAACTGGCTAATATATATTCAGGTATACCTTATGATGCAATCTGGATGAGGTATTATGAAATACAGTTAAGTTACAAAAAAATTTTTGAGTAGTGGTGGTGCTAGTAGGATGGTAGAATATTTACCTACGCAACTTTGTTATAAATACACATTGGAAGTTGTGGTACTATTAAGTATGAAAAAACGAATGGTACAGTGAAGTAAATTTGTCGATGGTCGAACTATGAGCATGAGAAGACAATCAAATTTTAAGGTTCTCTGATCTACACAATCTTTTAAACAGCTGAGTGTCCAGTGGCGGATATTGGCGTTAGAGCAATTTGAAAGTTTATTTACGCAAGTTCAACGTTAGCCACGTTATAATACTAATTCTTTAATTTTGCTGAATATGTTTACTGTTGGTGGCTAGGTAGCCGACAGTGACAGCATATTTGGCTCAACATCGTGCTGTGGAGCAGTCGCACTAGCACCAGTGGCCGCTAACACCGACACGCAACATCTAACGGACACGGGCGACGTCGCCGCCTCATGCGTCCTGCCACACTTCGAACGAGCGTTCTGCCTGATTATTTATTGGATGCGTGGATGTTCTTTAAACGCTGCAATGCTCTTGGAGATTTCATTAAGAAGGTTAAATCACTCATAATATTCTCTGGTAAGTTACTTTTGATCTTTGGAATACTTGAAACATAAATAGGTATGAAGATTTTGTTACTTGGATCAATTGGACCATTACTTTTGGATAAATTAGTATTACATAGATGGGATTTACACAGGTTCAAGAACTCAGTGAATGTCTTTCATTAACGGTAATTAGATCTGAAAGGATTTTTGCCAGTCTTTATATGACCTTATCCTACTTACCTAGTTTAGCGAAGGAATTATTTTTAAGGAATAGTGACAGCTTTCATAAAGTAAGAAGCTCGCGCTACATTCGAGGAGGGCGGAGGGCGACGGCGGCGCCCGAACACCGAGACGTGCAGTAGGGGCCGCGCGCTGCATACATTATCCGGATCACCTTTGGCGGCGCACTTAGGCGGGTGCGCGCCGCCATCCCGCCTTACGGCCTTGAGGTGGCGCGAGATGAGCAAGATGGCCGCCGTGCGCGCCGCACCTGCGCGCGACGCTGACACCGGCACGCCGCGCCGCGACGCGCGACGGGACTCCAGCGTGCCGCTCGTGGCGCCCGTGCCGATCGAGCCTGACGTGTGAGAGGACGCGCGTGACGACGCACGGGTCGCGCTCAGTGTGCCACCTGCCGCAGACATTACCATTACTGTCAGTAATGAACAGAGTTGTATAGATCAAAAGAGAATAAGACTAAAAAATAGGCTTGGCTTTGGTTCAGCGGTTATATAGATATGAAATAAAACTAAATGATAATATTGATAAGATTGAATTTACCGGTATCGTTAAGAGAGTATAAACAGGGCGGTGTTAGGCGCGCATCGGCTAGATGAGTGGGGTGGTAGCGGGCCTTGGTGTAGAGGTGCAGCACCATGCAGAGCAGCCCCGCCAGCACGAAGATACCCGACGCCACGCCTAGCAGCGTCGGCATGTCCGCCGTCAGCAGCACCAGATCTGAAGTTTAACAATTAAAGTTATGTTTCTGGACGATATCACATGCAGTACGATGGTATTTTGGTATTGATGGTATTTACCTTTGATGCGTTTAGTTCTTCAGAAAAATATACAAAAACTTTTTGGATAGGATGGTTGTATGTGGTGCTATAGTAAAAAGTACCAACTGTTATTTGCTTAAATTTAATGTCAATCGATTTATTTACCTTCAGTGCAGAAGACCCTTTGGGTAGGTCGGTTGTGCGTTGTGCTATGGTAGCCAGAGTCACACTGACAGTAGGCGTTGTGGTTGACTTGAACACAGGACGCGTGAGCATCGAACGCACGACACGTCTGACGGTAGAAACACTGCTCGCCGAGCTTCTTTGCTGTATGTCAATTGATAAATTTATATAAATGTATTCATATATTGCAGGATTGTGTTCCGTGGCGCCTCTGCTAGGTAGGCGCTGATAACCCTGATTTGGTCAATGCAAGGTACGAGTATAGTAAATTCTCTCCCATACTACAATATAACTGCTGTTTTTTGGAGCATATTCAGTGTAAACCAAATATAACCGTAGATAAAATATTTTGGTTTATAATAACTATATGTAGTGTGTGGGCGATAATAAAATGTGTTTCATTAATTAACATGAATATAGCTCGAACATAAATATTATTTTTCATACGGTTTTCGTTGTACACTTTTATTCATCCGTGAAACTTAATGAGAGTATCATAATTTCAAGAGAGAATTATCGAAAAAATTCAGTCTATATAATAATTTATATACTTTTGTTTTCCAAGAAAGAAATGTTCGCATATTTGAATGTATAATATACGAGACATTTCTTATTCATAAACTCATTATTATTCAATGAATAATTTATAACTATAACCTTAGCTTTGTTGCTTTAGTAAGAAATTATTGTTCATCTTAGATTGTTGATGAATTGGCATTTAGTTTAATTGAGTCATTGCAATTAAGTATCAAGAATGACCGAATTTTCTTGCAAATTTCTGAGACTGTATTCAGAAGTCTGGTCTTTGTATATTTCTATATAAGCACAGAGTAAGTTTTATTAAAAAAGAAAACGTTATGTGTTACTATTAAAATACTTATGAAAATACATTAAGTGCAGTCTCAGAGTTACAGGGAATGGTAGTTTATAGAGCAGTGTAAATCGGTATCATAAAGGAGTTAAATTGAAGAAATTCTAATTAAAATTTTTTGGACCTCAAAAAAAATTGTTGGTGTATCCACTTTTTGTGTTTCGATTTTATTGAAGATAAAAATTTATGGTATTATTTCAATTTAACACTCAACGATAGGTCTGTTAAAATTGCTACTGTTACGGTGTATGAAAGAGTATACCATTATCTTTCCTTTTTCAGTTGTCTCTTTATTACGATTTCTTGAAGTCTGTTTATAATTGTTTTTTATAGCTTAAATTATTAGCCCCTGATATCGTTATTTCTTAAGACATTATTAGGACGATTACGAATGTAGAAATATCAATATAATCGATCCAGATCTAATGCGAGATGCATTTACCAACATCATTTAATTTTTATGTGGAAACAGCTATCACGGCCATGGTTAAACGGGAAATTAGATCGAGTCGATATATCTAGGTCGTCGTGCAAGGTACCCACCGTTCAGGGTCTTACTACGAGTTGCTGCAGTAGGTACTATGGTCATTCGTCAACAAAAAAACAACAAACACTCGATTGAATATTAGTGAATATTCTAGTTATAGAATAAAAAACAATTACTTTCTATAAACAAACATACGCAATAAAAAGCTTTTCATATGATTTTTATATAGTTAAGATGGAATCTTATTATAGTTATAGATATCTTAAAAACTATTTGACCTTTTTTCGCACCAATTATAATAATCGTGATAAGATACGCAAACATTTCAATACTGTGAATTTTATGATATACAAAAATAATCATTGAAATATTTGGTACGTCTTAAGAATATTGGCAGGATTATTATTGACTAGCTTTCAACCAGCGGTTGCACCCGCGTGATCTTGTATTATACATAAAAACATGCATTGTGAATCACTCTATCTATTAAAAAAATCGCATCAAAATCCGTTGTGTAGTTTTAAAGATCCAAGCATACACAGGGACAGACAAGCAACATTATTTTATACTAAGTATTGATAAACAAATTACAGAAATTGTCAAATTACCGACTTTTAGTATCTATTCATATTTTGACAACATACCGATCGACATGGTGTAATTATGAGGGTTCTTTATTAACTACAGAACTCTAATAAGTTTATAAAAACCTGTCTACTGAAAAATGACGAACCAATAAAAAAAAAAGAATATTTTTAACTCGAACCAAAGGGATACAACCAATTCCAACCAAATTCAACAAAAATCATCCCACCGACAAGATCCAATCAAAAGAATTTTAATCCAAAGGTTAAAAACGAGCCCTTATTACTAAGACCAGACTGTATTTTAAGAATCAAGATAACTAGATAGTTGAAATTTGTACATATAACTCATTTTTGTTGCCGCTACAACAACAAATGCTAAAAAAAGAATGGTACACAAGTTCGTGAGGGAGTCCGTCTCGCACTTGACCGGCTTATCTCTAAAGCATGTACTACATGTCATAAGCCTCGTTTTTGTTGCGGCTCGGCATGGTAAAAAGTCTTTACACCACCCTGAACGTGTGAAGCTATTGTTAAAGTGAGACAACAGTATTAATTTCCGCTTCGATTATTGCTTTGCATCACGTCGAGAGTTTATGGTAAGGCCTCATAGACAACCGCGCCCTTGGTTTGTACGAGTGCAGCGGCGCAGAAAATATTGAAGCCACGATTTATTATAATAATAAGGGTTTATATCGTTGTATATGTGAAATGACTGTTTATTTTCCTTTCTTCGATATTATATTTTAAAATTGGAATACCTATTTCTATTACTTATTTCTTATTTATCTTACCTATTTCTTATTGCACATAAGTCATGGTATTAAGACGTCTTAGTATGCTCAAACATAATTATATAATGATGTTTTTCTGGTTGTAGGAGTGCGCAGTGTTTAGCGCGAGCGGTCTGCGATACGGAAGTTAAAACTATAGCAAAGGCCGGACAAAGGATGGGTGACCAAAATTTTATTATCTCGAGGTCCGATTTGCTTCGACAGGTACATTGAGCTGTTGGTCTAGACTCCATCTTCAATAAACACAAGTTAAATGTTATATAAATGATAAAGAAGTCATATTTGAATAATGAATAATGTACTTGTACGTGTGAAACAGTATTCTGTTCTTCAAGAAGGTTTTATTTAATTCCCTTATCATTAATTCGTTCTGCATTTTAGTTTTTTAAATATAAAAAGAAAGCGCGTCGTTTTGTTAGCTCACAGTTGTGAACTCACTCATTCCCATTTTAGTTTAACTCTCTGCGTATAAAACAGAGGGCACTCGTCTGGAATAGTGCCCATTATTATTTCGGTCGTAAACTTTTAATGACAGTTTAAGCGCAGTAAAACACTAACTTCATAAAAAAGTTACTATTGTGTTTACGAAACAATCAACGGTTTTTAAACGCTTTAAATCCTGCAACATCACAAATTAAAATTTCTCCATGTCATTAGTCTGCTTAGTTTTTCTTAATTGGATGGCTCGCTTGATCACAATGCTGTCTGATTGTAAGCAATCAGTAGGTACTTACGCTTGGCGCATCCTTTAGCGATGCCGAGCGCGACTGGGTGTTTGGGGTCGCATTGACACGATGATGTCGTGGGGTCGCAGTACACATGCACCAGTCGCGGGTTGCACGTGAACTCGCATGGCGAGCCCAAGTACATGCCCTTCTCTGTAAAGAAAAGGGAAAAGAATAATATTAAGGGCATATTCTGTACAACTTATTATTTCCTACAAATAAAGGGCGTAGAAAGTTTAACAGTATCAAAGGAATATTCTGGAATTAAATGTAAATGTTTCCATGAATTATGAGCGCAGAGAACTTAGCAGCTTTATAGGTATATTCTTGTACCACTAATACGAATAATGGGCGTACAAAAATTTAACAGTTTCATATGTAGTTCCGAAGTAGTTATTGTAAAATTTCCTATACGAACAATGGGCGCATAAAATCGGCTCTTAACTATTTTATTATATTTATGTGATAACTAGATCATGATAAGACATAAATATAAAACGAAAACAAAAACATCAGTTAACGGGCAAAAGCATTTCATGTTCAAAAATCCACTTTATCCCTGCCATTCTCAGATGGGACTCGAACCCACGACCTTTCGTAATCTGGGCGACTGCTCTAACCACTTGCATGAAAAACTTATGAAATTACGCTCTGTAGTAGCGTAAAAGTAACAAGTGCTTCAAAAATTCGACAGTCCTGTTAGGTCCCGGGTAGCTCAGTGGTTAGATCAGTCGCCCGGGTTGCGAAAGGTTCTTGGTTCGAGTCCCATCTCAGAGTGCCAGGGACAAAGTGGATTTTTAAGCATTTTACATTAAGAATGTTTTCAGCATTGTGAATGCAAAATTGATCAAATATATAGCACTAGCTGTGCCCGCGACTTTGTCCGATTTAATGCCCTAATACTTTCACTCCCATTCATCCCTTTATGTGCTTCTTTTCATGATAAGATTTAAGACAGACATATGCTGCCGCTTTTGTTAGAACTTTTAAAGAGGATCTATTTCCTCATACATGATTTTTGCGTAACTTTCACCGTTTACGCAGCGCACGCAAGGAAAGCTTTAAAAAAGTTAAATATTCTTACCGAGATATTAAATAGCCTTCATCGATAAGTGGTCAACTCAACACAAAAACAATAATTCAATTCGTAGTAGTTCTTGAGATTGTAGGGTACAATCAAACAAACAAACAAACTCTTCAGCTTTATTATTAGTATAGATTCCACGTATTGATAAATTCTCATTATTAAATTCTTAACGTAACTTGTTACTTACAAGTAGCGGAATCTCATTTTATGAAATAATTACACTTTATGTAGTAGTGACTTTTGTGACTTTATTATATAAGTTTCTATCCAAAACTTGGTCTGTTTATAATTAAGGTTTTGTTATTACAAAATCGTTCTGTACGAGCCTTTCATTAAATTCTATGTCAACGTTTACTTATAGATATGTAGATCTCTCTCTTATCTTAAACTTTTCCCATTTATAATATTATAATATTATATTATTAGCATAATGTTTCGACTCCAAACTGTATCTCTGCTATATTAAATATCAATTAACGAGACATTTGCCAAGCATTCAATATAAAGGTTCATTTTATTAGGTACATATTACGGATAATATTCCTTCATTTTCTGTGTAGCAACAGTTACTCGCGATATCTCGTCTCCTTAGCTACGGGTTTCTTTTGTGTTATATACGTATTTAGCTCCATATATTTAATATTGTAGCTACTTAATATTGTCTAGTAAATTGGATTTGGAACGATAGTGAAATCTCGAGTAGTTAGCAATGATAACAGTAGAAAATATCAATTGATATAAAAATAATATTTGGTTAAAACAATTTATAGATACAGTAATACTTATCTTATAGGATCGATGTGGGTACTAATGTTGATTTGCATAAGTAAATAATTAATTTTACTTAAAATAATTAACATGGTTACTACATCGAACTACAGGGAAATTACAAAAAATCGATATCCTAATAAATATGGCATATAATTAATATTTTGCTATATAACGAATGTGAAAAAATAACGAGTCAAGAGAAGGTAGAAATATATATCTGCATTGACACTCATCCGCACAAATTTCAGTTACTCAATGATCGAGGTACAAGCAACGGCGTCGAAATATCGGGAACTCATTATAAACAAGATACACGGTAGCAATCACGTATAATACCATCATTCTTAAATAAAAAATCCATGAATGAATGAATGAAATGAATGAAAAATTCTTTATTGTACACCAATGGACAGAAACAAATATAAGGATACAATAAATGTGAATGCACAATTATTACTAAAAAGTAATTTCTTCCAGGCAACCTTGTGAACTGAACGAAAATTATATCTACTTTAGATTAGATTTAGGGTAGTTTATGGTGTCTCAAACTTTATCATGATATCATATCTCTACCTATATATATATATATATATGAATAAATGAAGTACATAAATACTTTAAATTCTATAATACATATGTATTTATATATAACATACATATAAGCCATGTACATTTTCGTTCCATATTCAAAGTTAGAAAAACATTGACAAGACGATTAGATCAAAATAGCTAATGTGTAGTAAACAACTGAAACGCACCAATGTCTGAGGGTGAATACGTTTTAAAATGTTCTTCGTAGAACATGTAGTGTTTGTCGTTTTTGGGCTGAGTGGCAGAGAATGATATTAGCATTAAGTCCGCCTTTTGTACTATTATTCATTGGTCAATAAAGCTCAATAAAAAAACAAAGAATTTTAACGTTTCAAAAAATATCTAGAATGACTATAAAAAAAACATCTCGAAAATAAATACAAAGTTCCTTTATCCCGGTACAAGCCAAGCCTCATATACTAACTGCAGTTTTTTAAATTTTATACACTTTAAGCGTGCATAAAATAAAGTACTAGCTGCTTCACGCCATATAATTAATAAAAAAGCCAATAAAAAATAAACGAAGCGCAGTGCATACATTCGTCAGCTGTATTGAAAAGGGCTGAATGAATTTTAAAATAGATGACTTTTTCTGGGCGCTAAAACCACTATACTGCTTAAACTCTACCCAGAACATCCCAGAATGCAAAAACCAGGACATCCCAGAATTCAAAAACCAGGACGAATATAGGATGGTTACTAAGTTTATACTAAACTAGATTTTCGCTTCGCTCGCGCGGTCCTGTATTATACATACCTACATACATCTATAGGAACCTACCCCTTGAATCACTCTGTATATAATGAATGTATACAATGAAAACTGCATTGAAGTCCGTTGTGTAGCATAAAAAATCTCAGTGTACAGACAGCGGGATACGATTCTGTTTTATACTATGTATAGTTGAAAAAGCAAACGCATAGCATGACGAACTCGGGAACGTTTTGTCTACACTCAAATGTCACTTTTCTCGGGTGCGCCCATACTATATCTCACTCTCGACCCGAGAAAGTGACATTTGGGTGTAGACAAAGCGTTTCTTGAGTTTGTCTGGCTAAATGTGCAGGGGAACAAAAGAGTATTTATACTCGGGTTTCTCTTTAAAACGTATCTTTAAGAGATAATTATGTTGGCAAGGCGTTACCGGATAACAATTATATACTTAGCTGAAAATAAAAATTAATTTCACAGGTAGAAGCGCATTAAAAAATAGAATTTCAATTAACAGAACAGAGGATTTTGCACTAACAATTAATTAAATAAACTAGTTTATGGACACAGTAGTTTCAGGCTGCTTCCAAATATAATTTAATGTACGTATTTTGTGTTTAATAAGCGCAAAATTTAACTCTTTCTCTATATTTATTATCGTCAACATTATTTATTTACATATTAATGTTCCTACTTTTGGAGCACCGGCCTTCCCTATGTGGTTCCCTAGGTGGAATCGAATAGGGAGAATTTTCCATACCCTACATGCAGGCCCTGTGTGGATTGATTGTGGTTAACTACCACACATAACTATTACATTTACAAATATATAATATAACGTACTTAAAATACGCCTAGACGAAAACTCGCTAGTGTCAAAGAGATCTGAGGTTATCTGTGTTGATAGATCATTAAATTTGTTAAAAGCTCGTCAGAGATTTATACAAGTAGAATATGTAATTCAAAGTAACAAGCAAATGGTAAATATGTATTTATCATATGCAAACTTATTATTATACTTTAGCAAAACCCACACCGTACAGCCGTTTCATTCAACATTCATATGAAAACTTCTATTGTAATGTGTGAAGCTGGCAGCGAAACAACGATGCTACTTCCTTGCACACATCCCCTGGCTGCGATCACGTGAGCTAAATGTGAATGTAGAAATATACAAAGCCGAGTCTACACGTGAAAAGGGATGGACAAACACTTATTTTATAGTAGTTTTTAAAGTTGAGTTCAGTACAGCGACTGCGATATTTACTCCTAGTATAGTAGACAAGATATTAAGAACTAAAATTGCGGCAGAGATTTAATATAATATTAAATTTTGTGTGTCGATTATAAATCCTAATAATAATAAATAGGTTTTTCGTAGTAGCACTTTATTTGAGTACGTAGATATTAAAAAAGGTCTTTGTGCCTGTCGATCGGTTCCCTGACATTCAAAACTCTTTCATATAAATACATACGCAATGCACCTTCTGTTAATACAATTGTTCGTTAAAGGCGTGTCTTGGCCTACCTAGGATTCTACATCCTTCAACTGTCGTATAAGCATAACTCTTGTAACTATTTCGTTCAGAATTCTTTGCCAAAGATTGTACAGACAGATCATGCCCATGTTAATTTACCCGCCATCTTTCAGATCAAATTTGTATCTTATATCTTGGTATTTTTACTTTCGTGCTCTCTCTGATGTATCAAAGTCTCACATCACTTGCATTCTGTGTATAAGAGTATTGTTTCTTAATCACCTAAACCAAAATAAACTTTTGATTTTAAAATATTTATATATAATTTTGAAATAATAAAGTCTATGGCTTTGTTATTTTTATAGGCATAGATGAGAGAAGTGATAGATAACCCCAGATTTCTTTCTGTGTTTTGTGGTGATAATTATGTATTAGGAAAACAATTAGAAAATCTTCACAAAACTGCATAATTCGGAAAATACTGTCAGTACATTTTCCAATTGAAGTATGAACATAAAGTATCTAGTTCGAAGTAAAACCGGTTAGTTCTCAAGGGACTACTTTGATCCCATATAAACTAATGAAAGTTGTTAGATAATGTTTATCCAACGTACCTTATTCGTCACTCTAACTTTTGCTGAAGTTACTTTTATATGTGGATTCTGTGAGGGCATTTACTCATGTTCTGCATATTTAAGGACGTTTCTTTTCCCAAAATGTTCCGGCGAATTACTTTTATATAATTGACGAATCACACACCTACCTACTTAGAAAATTATTGGTCGATTTACTGAAGTTTGTGAAGGCAATGCTAACTCTAATGAATTCTATAATATAAATTAAAATAGTCCTGAAACAATAGCTCACAATGTCTTTATAGCTCAGAGGTTAGATTCGATGCGGAGATTATGCAACTTCGCAAGGATGGGTCATTTTTTATCTAGAGCTTTTCTGTGCTTTGGAAGTGTAGCATATGTGATTATTATGGTTGAGGGCAAACTAATATTTAGGCCTGAAACTAGTTACGGTGTTAATTGATTGTGTCTGTCGTCGTGTCCTCGCCTTGTTATTAAGCAATGGCGACGAACGAATCCTCATTCAAAATGTCAACGGCGTGTCATATGGTTTTTGTCATCTTTTGACTACAAATCTCAATAATGAAGCATTTACTTTCCAAATAAGTGACAATCTGTATTTAATTAATGATTATATTGCATGATTGACGATTATTTTGATATTATCAATTTTTTCACTGTTATCAGTTCGTTTAATTTACTTATTATTAATAATGGACATGTATGAATTGCAATATTTGCACGTCGTCTTGGCGATAAAATATGCTGGACGTTTGAAATTGTTAACAACTTATGTAACCATATTTTCGTAAATAAAGATTTTTATTATTATCGTATCACAAATCCAGAATCACGCATTTGTTATTTCTAATAACGTGGACGATGAAACGAACAAAATCAAGTTCAAGCGAAGCGCGATTTTGCTCAGCGCTTTTGTAGAACCAACCTATAAATTAATTGAAGAAGTGGAGCAAGCAAAGCCGTTGGTATCCGATCCATCGACAGTAGTTAGCACTCACCAATAGGGATGACGACTAATATTTGTTTATTTGTCAGATTGTTGAAAAAATATTAAATACCTATTTTTTTTCGTCATCATTATATAATTGCAATACTACAAAAAATATCAGGTAAATTTTCTATAAAACTGTAACGTAGCGAGCTTCTACTCCGCATCTTAAACGACTGTTATATAAGCTGTTTCTTGTTAAATTGAAGAAAAAAAATACGTATCTAATACTTTTCTATTATTTGACAGACGGACCAAATAGAATTTCTTTTTTTTTTAACCCAATCGTCATCCCAATTCGCACGGGGTCCATGTGGTAGTTTATAGCTCGTTCATCCTATTCCATTCGATTCCATCCATAAGGGAGGAATGTGTCTCAGCAGGATATTCATAGGCTGGTAATGATTATCTTTATAGAAACTAAGTTCTACACTGTCAGTTTGTATATTTATTGATAACATCAAGCTGTATTAAGATTTTTTGCAATATTTGAATTCGGTCTTCGGGAAAACTAGAAACTGTATCTATAGCCGACACATTGGATGTGGTCCAAAAGTCTAAATTTTTTGTGTACTTCTTTTATTGGATTTATATAAAAGCGACATTAGACTGATATCTAATTATCGCTTTATTATTATATGGAATCAAATTTATGTCTACAATAGTAGTATTCTAGTTATAATATCTATATGTAAAGCGTAAACATAAAGTCGCGTTGAAAGGTAAAACTTCTTGTGTATAGAATCCACCAATTTTTGTGAGCATTGTTAACGTTAACCCCATCGATTTCTATAACGAGGGTTAATTTATTCCCATTACCTGCGAAGAGGGGTTCGCGCCTATTCCAATACATTGCAAATTGAACTCTATCTCTAAGTGTTTGCATAAACTTTTATTCAGAAAAAACCGTGTGATTTTTTCTTGGAGCATTTGATGTTCCTTTTAATGATCTTGCACGTATATTGCAGAGATAAAATTCAAAAGTACTTTTTTCATTTTCATTGTGTGTTGGTATTATCTACGTAATATCTAAGCTGAGCATGAATAATTCATCATCATCATCAGCCCTTTTACGTCCCCACTGCAAGGGCTCAGGCCTTCCTTATGGATGGTTAAGGAGGATAATTTTTTGGTCACCCATCCCGTGACCGACCCTAGCGAAAGTTGCTTAACGACAACAATCGCGGGCCGCGGCGCTTATCCACTACGCCTCCGAGCTACTCGAGAATAACTATCGAGTATTATTGAAATTTTTGTATTTATTGTTTCACAGCACTATCAACTTCCATAAAGAAAACTCTCATTAATAATTAATAAAGTAATTACTGAGGAAAACAATTTTCTGTATGGCTTGTGAACTAACTTTAGTATGTATAGTCTAAATAAGAAAAAACTCGACAATATGATTTAACTCAAGCAGATATTTTTACCAAATAAACAAGAATTTAAGTGAAGTAAGCACTGTTAATAGTCAGATCATTATTATTTATTAATTATTGATAATTCTCACTTCATTCAAATCTCGTCTATTGATTCAAAATATTTGTTTAAGTTATAACATTTTCTCGAGTAATTACTTCTATACGACTGTAAGTCTCTAGTAAATCCATAAGAATTAAGTAATCAGTCTCCCTTATTTATAGTTCAAAAAAAAATGTCTGTTTTCCGCGACTTCATCCGCGCAAATTGTCATCCGTGTATTATATAAGTGTTACGCGTAGGTGAAACTTTTTTCAAATTCGTTCTGTAGTTTCGGCGTCTATAAATACAGATTTAAAAAAATAAAATCTTTCCCCTTTGTTAGTTTAGTGTACACATGGCGAATGTGACAAGCGTCGTCCACAGAACGTTCTCGATAATTGCACAGAGGTCCACATTCGATTGTTCCATCTTTGTTCCGCTGTGACATTTCCGTTCCAGCAATTACTTTTCAATTTACCCTCTATAAGTTTATATTTTAAAATAAGTTTTTACACAATAAGGTATATTAACTAGTATTTTAAGGCTTACTTAATTAATTACTTGATATTACAGAATAATCTAAGAATAATAAAATATTTTTATCTTTCCAACGCTTACTATAACTATTATCTATATATAAATAAATTTGAAATGTGTGTTTATTAAAATAACAGCTTTTTACATGTTTTGTCTGTCTGTTTGTTTGTTTGGGCTAATCTGTGAAACTGCTGGATTGATATTATGAAATATTTAGGCGACACATTTGGGCATCTCCTAAGCTTAGTTAAAACGGGCATAAGTGTTTTTGAAAGATCTGGTGCTATAAACTGATTAGATTTCGTATTTACGTGGGTATTTCATAGTATTCCGGTGAAGATTACTTAATTAAGTTTTGAATATTTACTGTCTGACTTAAAATTAAGTTTCTTGATTTTTGTAAGCGCCTTCGTAAATTTTAGCTAGATATATTTTTTTAATATCTTTAATTAATTTTAATCACGTACGTAGCGTGAATTTGACAAGTTTACTAAAACTACTGATACAATCCTCATGTCATTTTTATGATACGGTACCAGCGTACCTACCTTGTCCACCATTGACGAAGATATTGGGGAACATACACATATAGACAAAATGTTCACACACACACACACACACAAGATATTCAATCGAAATTTATAAGCTTCTTATTTTTTGAAAACAGTCCTATAGTCGATTGACCATTAAAACATAAGAATCTCATTCAAACATATTATACTTTAAAAGTTCAAATCATATGACTGCGGCACCATCACAGATATCTCAGATATTCATTTGTACGATTAATAAATAAAACAGTATTGTTCAGTAATACTTTCAAAATAATACTTCGCTAGGTTTAGGTAAGTGTTCTTTTAATCCATTTAAAAGTGAGCTTTAAGGAACCTTAAATAACCACGTCTACTTCCAGACGCTGTGAAAATGCTTTGTGCTAAATTGCGAATATCTTGGCTGGAGAGTGGAATAACTGACATTCGACGAGTCTAAAAAGGCCATAACTCCAGGTGAAAAAAAAAACGCTGAAAATGAACCGTCTGATAGACGCACAAAATCCCCTGTTCCGCGAATAATGAGGGAGGTAGTCATTTCAGTGACGTGTTGGAAATGTACGCTTTGTTTATTACAGAAAAAGGCTTGATGAAGGAAAGTGGTGTTACGTGAGTTCTTAAGAAAGAACTTTTGCTTAGGAATTAAGTATGAACTTTCATTTCAAAGTTGTGTAAGTATGACAATATTGCAGGCAACGCGTTATTACGTAAGTCTTATGATAAAATTCTCCAAATACTTTGTTCAATACAATTAAAATTGTATTTTTAATTTATTTTTACATACGAAGGCAAAGCTTTCTTTTTAAATCCGTTACCGATGGTTTTCGGTAATAAATACATGTAAGACCTCTAGTTCTAGGAGGATATAAAGGTATATTTTGTATCACTTTATTTGTGACTTTAAAAATGTACGTTATTCATTTCGTTTTAGAAGGCTGACTCTTCAAATACGTTGTTAGTGAAAAACCAGTGCCTTAGTAAATTGCGCGAGCAATCATTTTTAACCTTCCACTTCGTCGCTCTAAACGAACAAGATCAAAGTAATTTTACAGATTTGTTATTATAAAACGTCTCTCTTAACGTTCTTCTAATCTTCGAAAGCACACATTTATTTAACTGGCTTTTGCTTGCGAATTAATTTATATTTACCTACTTGAGAATCTTGTGGAAGTCTCTATAAGGATTAAATTTACAATAAATAACCAATAACAATAAATAACCTTGCAAAGATCGCGGTAAGTCCTACCATTTGTTATTAATATAATCATTAATTAAATCCAATAGTGAGAACGGCCCATAGTTCACTACTCGAACTCAGCGCGTATGAAGCTTAACGGAGACTAAACCAGATTTTGGTCAGACATCCGTCGAGTGGCGTGACCGAATGTAGTTTCAACACCATAATTGAAAATCGAACCAGCTTCTCGAAATCGTACTGGTTAATGTGTTTGATAGTAGAGATAGGCTATAGTTCTATAAAATACTTTAAATATTAAATTTTATTCCTGCCTGATGAAGACTGTGCGAAATGCGTGAAAAATACAATACAAATATAAATTTGTAGTAGCATGTTTATATTCATTGCAACACAAATTCATTGCAACATTGACAAGTAAAGATATTATAGCAAATATCATAAGTTTCAGAATATACTTTTAAAAATAACAGTTCGAGGCTGTCCTCAATGTGGTTGGTTCTTAACATAATTTCATAGCTAATTTTTACATCGAATCCATCTATTTATAAGCTACTTATCAATATTTAAGGATGCTCAGTGACAAATTGGTACACCAACAAATTATGTACACTTTAAATAGCCTAAAATTTAATTAACACTGAAAAAGGAATCAGCAAGTGAGTATATTCATGATTTAATTAATCAGAGAGATATTTGAACGGATAGAACTATCTACAAAACTTTTTCTACTTCCACACGCCACTTCTAAATCGAAGGCAAGTCACATTAAAGAGGTCGTAAAACCCATATTTTTTTTTCCGAATCCAAAGTTAACAAATAGGTTTGTGTAACGCAAGGGAAGCGTCGACCCACTGGCTCACCACTCGGCTAGATAAGATTGGTTGTCCTCAATAGCCTATCGCCCTGCGGAAAACATCCAGCTTGCATTACTATAGGATATTTGAAGATAAAACATTGCATTACAGTGCTGGTTCCCACGACTATGCCAATAAAATATTATGATTGACAATTTCGTGTTCTTAATGCTCGCTGGTAAATATTCTCAATGATAAATGTTTAAAAAATCCACCAGTTCCAGATACCCCGAGATAAAACTTTAACAAATTAATAGTAAAACGAATTGTATTATTTATAATCAAGTTATTAGTAAATCGAACTGTATTATTTATTTCAGTGAAGTGAAATCATTAATTCGCTCTTAGAATTAAGTCATTTAATTGTATAATTATCGTTCGTTAGGGATACTTTTGCTTAAGCTAATTACTAATGTAATTAACTAGTAATTCGTGTTTCTAACATGAAATAACTCATTTAGTAAATTTAAATGTGGTATAAACTAGGAATTATATCCAGGCGGAGTTTCACATGTCTTTTTAATACGACGGATGGGATTAATGTAATTAGTCCCATACTATTTTTAATGGCTTTATAGATTTAAACAAAGTAACACTTTCTTATCCATATTTATACAGCATTTATAAACGTAGCACGAAGGATTTTATCAATTCTGTTTGAACGAAATGAAATACATAGATTTGATTCCATATCATAAACAACATTAGGTTCTTTATTAAAATGGTTCCTATTATTAATATTGATATGCTCTTGACTCAGTAAAGTGCCCTTGAAACAAACTAATTATAATATCAAAGTAAAACAGCAGCGATCCTTGAATAAACAAGCTATTTAGATAATTAAATTTATTCTACCATAATACGCAAGTAAGTGTATAAAAATACTTTCTTATTATGTCAAAGAAGGGTTGGTATAAATCTAAGCGTCTCGCATAAGTATTACCAAGGTCTTCTGTAGGATTCCGATGGATCTTAGGAGCTCGATGGAGATGTGGTTAGCGCAATCGATCTCCGATGTAGAAGTAAAGTAAGCTTGTCATAGGAGGGGGACCAAAATGTATTATATCGAGCTCCTCCATGGTTCGGAAGGCAGGTTAAGCCAGTGGTCCCGGCTGCGTTTGCAGTCACTTAAAAATCTGATGACTTTTAGGGACCTGGTGATTCTGGCAGAAGGCTTGGTGGTGGTGGCATGCTTTCTATTCGAATTGATTTCATCTATAGGAAATATCTGTGCGCCAGCAGTAGGTAAGTC